ACCAACTTTGTATATCACAAAGGCTACACCTCGACTTTCTACGTTGCAACGTCAGGTATTCCTCAAGGCTCCACACTAGGGCCACTTTTATTCATATTATATATTTATGACGTCGTTAACGTAATTGAACATTCGCACATACTTATGTTTGCGGACGATGTAAAATTGTTTCACAAAATCTCCAATCGACTTGATTGTATGCTTTTGCAAGATGATGCTAACAATTTTTTTAATTTTTGTGGAATTAATCACCTTGCGTTGAGCACTGACAAATGCAAGGTTGTGACGTACAGTAATTGTAAAAATAATATATGTTTTGATTATGCAATAATAACACGAGTATAGCAAGATGTACGACTATTAGACATTTGGGACTACTGTATGACACCAATTTTACATTTAATCAGCATATTGACTACTTAAGTGCAAAGTGTACAAAAATGTTGGGTTTCATACTACGAAACTGCAAAGATTTCTGTAATGTGCAGTCCCTTATTACTCTTTATTGTGCCAGTGACTATGTATTTATTAACTCTATACTCACTGATTGTGCGTTAGTACGTTCAAATGTAGAGTACTGTTGCATAGCATGGTACCCATATTACAATAAACAAATTAACACACTGGAATATGTGCAACGTAAATTTTTAAAACACCTCTATCATAAAGACACCGGAATCTGGCCGGAGAGAGGCATCCCGCAAAACCTTTTACTGCAAAGGTTTAATTTGGATACATTAAGTACTAGAAGAATGACGTTACTTCTAATCTTCCTCTTCAAATTAACTAACGCCTCCATTGATTGCTCTAAATTACTATCCAAATTAAATTTCTATGTGCCAAGAATAAATTCCATATATGCCACTACCTTGTACTGTCCTACACCTCGTACAAACATTGGTCGAAAGGATCCATTGTATTTATTTTCGCATTATTTAAATAAACTGGAATTAATTAAATTATGGGATATATTTTGTAGTTCTATAACCCAACTGCGTCAAATAGTAATAAGTTATGATCATTAAGAGATATGGTTTTATTTTTTTATTTTTTTATTTTTTTAATTTTAAGTTAAGGGGTGATGAAGTGTTAGATTTAGTTTTAATAGGTATATATATATCATTTACACACACATATATTTAATTATTTATATATTTGTTATGTTTGTCCTTTAAATGGAATGTAATTTCTGTTATATTTAATTATTATTATTATTATTATTATTAAATGTTGTTTGTATGACGATTTCGGGAAAAAGTATTTAACTCTGTTTCCAAATATCTTTCGAAACATTTTAGATATGAATTTTTTCTGGCATTCTACTTGTCAATATCGTTGCGACCGGGAATTTTTTGGCTTCATGAGTTATAAAAGTACACCAAATACCTACACTGGGTGATTCATCACTGGTGTTCAAAAGAACTAGATAGGGATCCATTATCCCTACATTACTTGTAATATTAAAGTGCCTTTACACTGCATGATTTGTCATATGACTTTTGCTAATACAAATCGTATGATAAGTTGTATGATTTCAAGGAATCATACCATTTGCAGATTTTGAGTTTAGACTGCTGTGCTTTCTCATATGATTTTTTCGTTCGACTTGAAGCGTGGTGGGGTGAGAGCAAAGTGTCACTGTCAAACGACTCTAACCTAACCTAACATTTGGGGGAAGCGAAACACGTTTGCTTGACTTTGGATATTTTTTGTATTAGCCTCACATTAAATTTAAGAATTGTGTGTAGTAGTGAAAATTTTATACAATGAATAGTGAACAAGTGGCAAAATATCAAAGTGGTTTACTGTGCTTGATTGTGGGGTTATTAAAAAGAAAGCAATCGAGACGTAATAAAGATCTCGAGTAAAATAAACAGTTTCACGGGCTAGGATCAGAGGCTCGGTCGATCTATAATAACCTCACTTTCAACTGCCAATTTATTTTAATTTCTTGAAAAAAGCGCGAAATTTAAAATTATCGTACGAGAACTCTCTTCAAAATAGACCCCGTCCTATTCTGGAAATCTGCTATGATTTGCTTATGACCGCTCTTATGATTTGTGTTATGGGTCAAGTAATATGAGAAATCATACAGTGTAAACACGAAAAAAGCTGCACTAGGAGAAGTCATATGAGAAGTCATATGACAAATCATGCAGTGTAAAGGCACTTTTAGAAAGAAATTCAGACCTCATAGACCCAGCGGACGGGCGAGTTGTGTCTGGAGGCCAACTACCTCTCTACATGTGTTTAAGTGAGACTCCGCCCATCTAATTGAGATTGGTTATTCCGTTCGCTCCTTGAACTCATGTCGCGACAAATCCATTGTTTCGACGTGCGAAGAACTCGTCACCTGCTCCTCTGTTGAGACAAGATTATTTAGACACCGTTCCCTGTCATCCGAGACACATCGCACCATCACCAGGTCGTACCGCGACTGTCCCCCAAGGAACATTCGTCCAATGATCATTCTTCAAGTGGCTGTCGAATACAGAATTTTTATTTTCTCTTATAAATAGATTTTGGCATTTAAGAATAATTTTTAATTTCAGCAGTTGTAGATTTCTTCACCAGAACAATCCGTGCTACAAAGCTCATAAAAAAAAATGAAATAAAACGGAAAACTTTTAACACGTAAAAGAATGATCAGCTCGCTCAGCTTTGTTATAGTGGTAGTGCATTAGCTTCATTGGTGGGAGGTCTCGGGTTCAATACTCAACGCAGGCAGGTTCACAGCTTTTTTGTTTCAATCAAGAAGGATTCGTCTTATTGTCTCAAAAAATGTAAGAATGCAGGAAAGTCGCGCATACCTACATTTAATAATTCAAAAATAATAATTTTGCGACTTAATTAAATTAGTCCTCTCCTCTGTTTGGACGAGACAAAATCAATGAAGTTTAATTTTTTTTAACGCAGATTCTTGTTATAGGAATATGCTAATAGTGGAATTCTGTCAAAGTATAAATATAATAAACAGTTCAAGTTACGTATGTACTGAGACAGTGGCAAAAAATGTTTTTCCGTTGGTTAATTAAAGCAGCCATTCGCTGCTTAGGTACCCACGCTCCGGAAGTAAAAAGAGGATCATCATGGGGAGAAACTCACGTAGATGTGAACTGGTTAAACGAGGAAAGCATACTACTGTAGCAAAGTAATTGCGTTCATTTAAAGATCATGCTGCGTAATCTTACTGGCGCACTTTTGCCACTGTACCAGATAAATCGTGCTGTCATCCTTATCCATCAGTCGAGTAAAATGATTCGGCGTGTAAGTACGTTCATTACCAGCTCCATATTCATGTACTTCATCGCTCATTTCGTATAAATACATTGATGTTCCGTTTTCAAATATTCAAAATCTAACTCTGAGAAAAACAATGCGTTTATATGGAACAAGTTTAAATTGTAATCCTCAATCAGTTACGCAAGTCAGACTACGTTGGACAATTTTTCCAGTTCACGAGGAATGTGGAATCTATTGGGCCCAGAATTTTGTAGTGCAGGAAATTTTTAACACAACCACTAAATTTGATTTTATAGTATGTAGATACTATGGAACTCGTTTGAAAAGTCCATGCGCGTTACGAATCCCATTTTTTTTTTGTATGTAATATGTATTAATTTGCATACTTTGCTTTTAGGCAATTGTTCAGGTGTTAAAAATTTGGTAGCACCATAGTAGGGTTCTGTGCTTTGAAAAATATAAATATAAAATGATCATGATTTATTTAAAAATAATGCTGAGTAATCGTAGTGGCGAACTTTTGCTAGTCTATCACTGTCCACTGCAGCGTCATGCTGATCCATCAGTCGAGGGCAAACTTTCTCCGCGTAGACACATTCATTACGAGCTCCATATTCACGAATACTATGATTATTTGAAAACAATTTTTTTTAGTTCACGAGGAATGTGTAATCTGGAGTACAGATAGAGATAACCTGTATTATTAGTAAAGCTGGGATAATATGCAAAATTATTTTATGTTAAGTGTATTTTAATGCAAGTTTTAAAATTTTTGCTGCATTTTGCGTGGTAATTGGTGAAAATGTTAATTTTTATACAGTTGGTTATTGGGGGGATGTTATCAAATTGTTGGTGGGGATGATAAGCCAAATTTTGATTAGCGTTTTAGTGTCTACATGATATTCGTGAACATGAATATGGAAAAACAACATGTAAGACAAACGTTTGAGGTCGAGAACATTTAAAAACAAGTACATGGAGAGGCCAAATGGAAAAACGGAAAAAAGAGGAGCATAATGGGTAGAGACACAGCTAGATTTGAACTAGTTAAACAGAGAAAAATATACTGGTGCAGGAAATTGAGTTGCGTGTATTTAAAAATTATGCCAGGTAATCTCAGTGGCGTACTTTTGCTACTCTATCATATAAATCGTTCTGCAGCGTCACGCCTCTCCATGTGCCGAATACGAAATTTCTCCGCGTAATCACGTTCATTAAGTTCATTCACGGATTTCATCGCTCGGTGTTTCGTTTTTAAAATCTAATTATGAAAAAAAAACAACGTTTATTTGAAAATAAGTTTAAATTGTAGTCCTAATTGTTTTACATAATATCAGACTACCTAGGAAACTTCTTTTAGTTCACGAGCTTTGTTTGAAAGTTTTTGTCTCTTTTTTAAACACATATTACAATAACACGTATGAGAAAAATATAATTATAAATTTCGCTTGAAAACAGTAGTGTCTTCTTTCAGTTCCATTTCTAATTCGTAATAGGATTACACTGTGAGAACAAAGCATTAGCATAAATCTAACACCGTAGAACACACAAGCACGAATAAATTAACTGCAATAAATAAAATAAAATAAAATTAAATCAACGCGTGAGACGCGAACTAGTTGAATGGAAAAAAGAGACTGCTGCCGAAAATTACGTTGCGTTAACTTAAAAATTGTGCTGCGTAATCTTAGTGACGACGTATCAATTTTTGCCACTCTACCAAATAAAAAGCAGCGCAGTATCATGGTTATCGCTCAGTCAAGTGAAAATATTCTCGGCTTAAACATGTTTATCACCAACTCTATAATCACAGATTTAATCGCTCTGTTCGTAACTCTTGCAGCCCTATTTATCACCTACTGGAAATGGACATACCAATATTGGCAAAGACACAACATCCCATATCTGCCGCCGCAAATTCCTTTTGGCAACATAACCAGTTCCGTCATAGGTAATGAAAACTTAGGCGTCGCCATGAAAAAGATCTACGATAAAATGAAACGAAATCGTTCGAAACATGCTGGTATCTACATGTTCAACAGATGCGTCTACTTTCCGATCGATTTAGACTACATAAGGAACATCATGACGAAGGATTTCCACTACTTCGTCGACCGCGACTTTTACGTAAACAGAAGAGACCCTCTGCAAGCGCATCTCGCCAATCTAACGGGCAGCGAATGGAAAAGTATGAGGACGAAACTGACACCGACTTTCACTTCGGGGAAAATGAAGATGATGTTCCAGGTGATGGCAGAGTGCCAAAACGATCTACTAATGAAAATGCAGGAAGAATGTTTGAAGAACAAACCTATCGACATTAAAGACGTTTTAGCAAGATTTACTACAAACATCATCGGGTCTTGTGCCTTTGGTTTGGAATGCAAAGCCCTAGAAGACGAAGATTCCGAGTTCAGAAAGTATGGGAAGCAAATATTTGTCGAAACTAAGTTTGTCATGTTTAAGCGAATTTTTGGTATGGCGTTTCCTAAGGTTGCTAAATTTTTGAACCTTTCAACGATACGTATGGACGTGGCTGACTTTATACTAAAAACAGTTGAGGACACCATAGAGTACCGAGAGAAAAATAACTACAATAGGAACGATTTTTTGCAACTGATGATGAAATTAAAGAATAACCCATCGGACCCTGATGAGAAACCTCTAACAATGGACGAAGTGGCGTCCCAGTGTTTCGTTTTCTTTGGAGCAGGCTTTGAAACCTCGTCAACTCTGATGTCTTTCGCGCTCTATGAGCTTGCCAACCATCAAGACATACAAGAAAAATTGAGAGCCGAGATTAATTCGGTGTTGGATAACCATGATAAACAAATCATCTATGACTCAATCCAAGACATGAAGTACTTAAGTCAGGTGATTGATGGTAAATACCAGTTGTGACAATTTCCAAAAATACACACCTCGTTCTAGAAACTTTAAGAAAACATCCCCCGGCAGCTTTTCTTAACAGGACATGCGTGAAGGATTATAAAGTTCCGGGTGAAGATCTCGTGATCGAGAAGGGTAAAGGCATCATGATTCCAGTACTGGGAATACATTACGATGAAGAATATTATCCGAATGCTAGTCAGTTTGATCCCGAACGTTTCAATGATGAAAATAAGAATTCAAGACATAACTTTGCTTATCTGCCTTTCGGTGAAGGTCCCAGGAATTGCATTGGTACGATTATGTAAAAATGTTATTTTGTATTTAACAATTTTTTTTAGGAATGCGTTTTGGCTTGCTTCAGTCAAAACTGGGTTTGGTTTGTTTAATACAGAATTATAAATTCACTATTAACAAGAAAACGCAAGAACCTCTAAGATATAAACAAAATAGTATTGTGCTGGCGGCAGAAGGCGAAATATGGTTGAACGCTCAAAAAATTTAACATTTTTGCACTGAATGGTTTAATATAATTGTTCCTTTTGTTTATATTTTCATGACATTTGAATAATTTTATAAATTATTACTTTTGGAGGTAATGTGGTTTTTCTGCCGTTTTTCCTCCAAACTGCTGGTTATTATTGTGTTTTTACACTTATTTGAAAATACAGTTGCAAAATTTAGTATATTTCTTGACCTGAATATATAGTACGAGGATAAGACTGCGATGCCTAATATTTGGTTGCTTACGGTCACTAGTTTAGAAACTAAATAGAAATCTCAAAATAATCTGTGAGGGATTTTGTTTGAAAGTTAGACACAAATTTATTTGTATTTTGTTTAAACGTAATAGCCTATATATTGTAACAGGTTGGCTATATTTAAAGATGGAGATTTGGAAGGTTGTCGAAGACTTTTTAGTTACCGTGGCTTGATACAGGTCTTACAAAAATATGAAGAGTATTTTATATTATTTATGTAGGGTGAATAAATTTACATAGAGTTGTCAATCTTCTCTACATTTTTCAAACGCGACACTTGGTTTCTACAACAGTTTCAAGATTATGAGAAATCTCAACCAACTTAGTATCAAAAGAATTCTTGCTCACAAATGCGTTCGAAAATATTATAGAATATAGAGACAATTAGCAATTTTAATCAGCTGATGTTTTTAAGTTTTTTTTTTACACCATGACGAAAAACGGCTAACAATGAATGAGATCGCTCTCAAAAAGCTCTCGTTTTCTTTGCAACAGGGTTTGAAACATCTTCAACTTTGATGACTTTTGTTCTGACGAGTTAGCAAAAAACCCAAAAATTAAAGAAATTAGCGAAATGGTACCAAACATCAAATAACATCACTTCCATGCAAGATATAAAGTATCTAAACGCAAGTTATTGACGGCAAGTGTTCAATATTCACTAGAGAGCGGATTTATAAGCACAAAAAAATTAAGAATAAGCGCTTAAATAAGCACATTTTCAATAAAAAAGTTTTATTTTAAGCAAAAAAGCATTAAAAACATAATCATATTACAAATCAAAGAACACTTCTTAGAACTTTGGATAAAATATTATTACAATAATCCTAGACTTTATATTTTACACACGTACTTCACTTTTCTTTAAAACAATTTATGATTGTAATAGCGTGTTTGCGCAAAACATTTTCTTATAATTTTTTTCTTATGCTTACACTTACCCTTATAACTTATGTCTTACAATTATAACACTCATAATCGTTACATCTTATATTGACAACAACATAATTTTTTTACAATGTCAATCAGTGTCATTTAGAACTCTAATTATGTCGCAACTGAAAAAGAAACTCTTTTTGTATTAACTGATACACTGAGTAGTTCTGAACATCTTCTATATTGCCACAAGTTGCCAAAATTTCTAAATAATTCATGTGCAAAATTAATTAATTTACGTGTCAGAAAGTCAGTTCTGCTTGCCAATGTAAGGTCCTAAACCGTCAGCATAACTGTTACAATTATGCTTATAACTATAATTATAAATTATAAGTGTAAGCATAAGGTAAACTGCATAAGAAACTGTTTTGCGCAAACATGCTAATATGTTCCAAGTTGTCCACTGTAAAATTTTTTCGCCGATCATTTAAAATGTGTTTAAAATTGGAGAATGTGCGTTCAACATCCATACTGGTTGTTGGCGCAAATTTGAATTTTGCAACTAATGTTGAATCTAACTCCAAATTTTCCACCTTCTGGCCTTGTAAAACACGAGCAACGTCGGAAAGAACACCGAAACCTGCATTTTTATTTAACACTTCGTCAAGTTTTTGAGATACTCTAGTACCAATATCACCCCTTACTGCGTTTGCTTGTTGTTTAAATTCTTTCACTAAGTTTATGGCATCTACTAACAACATGTTGGGTTTTTCTAACTTTTCTATTACCTCACATACGAATTGATAATTGCTTCTTAGATAAGCTATATCTTGTCGCAAATCTTTGTTTTCCAAAATATTTATGCAATCTTTAATCGACTGAGAAGAATCTTCGCTAACCATGTTTCCCACCTTGTTATAATCGGCTCGGGGGCAATGGTATGTTTGGAAATTTTTCCTTAAAATGTTGCACTCTTAGCGGGGCTTTAACAAAATTCTTTTTACCATTTGCCACTAATTTAGTAACAATTAAACTTGACACGTATCTTCAACGACTATCGGTTGTTTCATCGACAGCGAACCATTAATAATTATCTCCAATGCGATGTTTAATTTCGTTGTAAACTTGCTGAAACACTGGCCCTACATAATTTTTTCGCAGAGTACTTTCAACCGGAATATTTCGATTGCAGTGTTTTTCAACGAATTCTTGAAGAGGGCCTTTCTCCAATTTTTTTAAAGGTATATTGGACTGGATCATCATTTTACACAAATCGAAATTAAACTGAAACTGCTCATCTTTTGTGGAAGTAGATGGAACAGATTCATGTATGGTCTGCTGTTTAATTTTAGAAACTTCAAACATTTTCTTCCTTTCTACATGAAGAGTCGTTCTGACATGTTGCGTCACGTTATATTTTTATCACTTTGAATCTAAAACAACGTAGATAAACAGGATTAACAAAGGAAAATAGATAAAAAAAAATAGTGGGCTTACGGTTTTCACACAAGCTCTGCAGAATATTTTGTTGTTTTCTAATTTTAATTCTGGAAAATCCCTTACCCACTCATCCGGCGTCGATTTTACTTTCGGCATTCTTTTAAAATATTAGTAATATTACCAAAAAGAACTCAACATGTTACAAGGGAGTACCACGTATAACACTGTACTGCGACAGATGCGATAGACTGATGGTTGTGAAATAAACGGTTCATTTACTTAAAAGTTTCCATTAGAAAAATTTTAAGGTAGGTAGTTGGGTACAATAATCCTTTTTTCTAGAAAATCTTCAACGGTCTTGCCGCAAAATGCCGAAAAAGAACATCTGGTTAAAAGCTTTAATTCATTATCAACGGAAGTAAGGATTTAAAGTCATAAAATCTATGGAGTATTTTTCAAATCTTATAATAAAATTTTATTACCCAAAAGACCGAAACCTATTCACAGAAAGGGTCTTGAGTAAGTGTACTTCAATGGTCAAGTCCAGGTAAAATGCATACGCTACGATACGGCTAACTAATAAGTATTTGTCATCCCGACAAGGCCGGCATTTCAACAAAATATGCATTAAAACTCATATTCGTCGAAAAAAGCATTAAATAAGCATATAAGTTTTATATGCATAAAATTGAAAAAAAAGCAAATAAGCATAAAAGAAAATGTGTCAAATGACTCCAAATTGTATCATAGTTACACATATAAAAAAATTTTGAAGTGCTTACATTTTTCACAAAAAGCATTAAACCTAGAAATCTGCTCTCTAATAATCACAAACACAGGAATTACATTGTCTGTTTCAGAAATATTGCAAATGCACCCACCAATACCAACACAATCGCAAATGTTTTAAGGATTAGAAAATCAAGATGTTATCATCGAAGAATGTACCATTGTTTTCATGTTAGTGCCGAAGATACACTATGACAAAGAGTACTCTTCGAATCCTGAAAGACTTTGTGAAGAAAATAGAAAGTCAAGGCATCAGTATGCTCATCATTACATAAAATTCTGATGATTTGAGTTTGTTTTCCGCCTCTTGAACGTGCGAAGTTTTTCATTAGGAGGCTGATTGATAACGACATGTTTCGACTTTATTACATATTGAAGTCATCTTCAGGTTTTTACAAGCTAGTAAGATAGATTAAAAAAAAACATTGATGAAATTACAATGATTAAAATAATAAAAAAACTCCAGTATTCTACAAAATGTTATGATTTTTGCGGAATGACTTCATGCGTTTATGAAAGGAATTAACAAAGGCTATGAGCAAAAAATCGTTAATATCTCCAGAAGAAAAGTTACGTACATTTTTTACCGAAGCCCCAGATGATACGTTCTTGTTTTTGAAAGTCAGTACCAACTTAAAACACATTTAAATATGTTAATCAATGCTATTGTTGTTGAAGTATGCCAATGGAAAATGCATGAAGCAAGTCGTTGGAATTAATACTTTTGGAAAATGTCCTTTTCATGTAGCCTGTTTTCTGAATCTCCCAGACGCTAGGAAATACACCGGTCAAGCTTTTAGACGAAGTTCGGCTACGATCATGGCAAACAATGGAATGAGCGTGGATGAACTGAAACGTCAAGTAGGGTGGAAATTTTCGAGCGTGGTTAGTGGCTATATTGAAGAATCCACTTCAAACAAAATAGTTGTTTCCAAACGCATTGCTGGTGTTCTTAACACATCTGTTACTTTGATAAATCAACTTCATCAACACCTGGACTTTCAACCAAACAGTGAAAATGCAGAAGTTATTATTAGGTTTCAATTAACAAATAGTAATCAGCTTAAAACGGCAAGGTTTCAAGTTTCAAACAATAATAATTGTAATTTTTATATTTATTTGAATAATTAGTACCCACTCTCTTATTGATAATATTTATTGTTGCCTAGACGACTTTAAAACACTAGTGCTTTAAATGCCCGATTGCGCACGCATCTTGCGTGTTTTAATCAAGGATTATGATGCAGGTATAATACAAAAATATGTTTTAAATTTATTCCATTTAAATAAGCATCATCAAAATCGTGAACAATTCATAAAAATCTGAGCTTACAATTAGGACACACCACTGACTCGAAAATGACCGGCATTTAGGCAAGACTTCTCTCATGACGGGTACTAAGACCATGTAATGATATGCATTGATTAGATTAATCTCCAAGAGCTTATAGTAACTACCGTTCATTTATTGGCGCATCACTGCAAAAGTGACCCACACTACTCAGACCTACTGGTGCTAACCTATTTTGACTAACATTATCAGACTGTTTGAGAAACTTACGACCAATATGACATGTTCCTAACGAAAACTTGTTCCATTTTGACAATTCATCATTTAAGTCTAAATAAGTATTTCAAATTCTCAACTAAACTACTTGGTACTACACGTAAATTGGCGAGATAACTAAAGGTGTAATTGAAATTTTGGTGTGGTATGTTTGTATTATGTTGTGCGTGTTAGGAACAACAATGTCAAAGAGAATTAATAATTAATTATTGCTAATTCTACCAGAATATATATGTTTGAGCTTTATTGCTAATAAAAAGGCGTCTTCCAATAGCAATAATATGTTCGCACAAAGCATATTTTATATAGAAAAGAAAAGAATCACTTTTAGCAGAAATATTAGGAAGTGCCGTTCTGCAGATTACCGAAATTTCCATTTTACATTGACTTTTTACTTTTCGAGCTTAAGCGAATGTTCATCCAACGAGTGGGTACTTTAATGTTTTCTTCACGTTTCTTGACCCCTAGAGTACGAAAAAGTATGTCTCGCGTTTCCGTCTCCCACTCTCGAATTTTATTAGCCATATAATTTTCGAAACTACTAAACCGATTATTATCAAATTCTACATCTATGTTAAAAAAATCGTGCAGATAGTAAAACGCTAACCAAAATTTGTCTAGCCATTCCCACCAACAATGGAATGACGTCATTTCAGAAAGTTACAAGAGTAAACGTTTTTAAGTTTTATGAAATAACCTACTCCTGCTCTTGCGGTTTATGAACCCGTATTGAGTTTTTATTCTAAACAGCCAGACGTTTGTCAAAAAAAAAAAATTTTGTAAAATGTTGCAATTTAACTTTGAAACTTGTAAAACCAAACACTCTGAAATCTTAAAAACGTTTTACAGTAACCATGAAAAATCGTTGATCAAAATTTATCCGTTTATTCTCTTCTAACAAATTAATGACGCCATCTCAAAATTTTGCCGAATAACTCCCACCTAAAGCCTTCGAAAGTCGTATCCCTGTTGACGTCATATACTTAGACTTTTCGAGGGCATTCGACAGAATTCCCAAAAGAAGACTTCTCAAACTTAGATCATACGGAGTAACCGGAACACTTTTAAGTTGGATCGAGGCTTATCTGTCAACAAGATCATTTAAAGTACGTGTGGGACAGACTTTTTCTATTTTAAGGCCTGTCACAAGTGGGGTTCCCCAGGGTAGTGTCCTAGGACCGCTTCTTTTTATCATATACATTGCCGACCTTCTCAAACTCATCTCTTCCAAATCTTCCTTTTTCGCTGACGATTGAAAAATCTACGATCACTCAAGTAATCACGACAACATTCAGGAAGATATAAATAAAATCCATCAATGGTGCAAAACCTGGTTAGGTAACCATCGCCTAAAGGAAGAAACGTCACACTGTGACCAAGGTGTAACTGTTACAAACAAGTTAGAATGGTCTTCTTATATTGCAAACATTTGTAACAAAGCCAACCTTCAACTGTATTTGATAAGCTGAACATTTGTCTTATTAAATATTGCACTAATGAAAAAGTTCTATATAACTTATGTTCGACCAATTTTAGAGTACTGCAGTCCAGTATGGAGATGAACAGCTTGAAATGTATGGATTGGATACCATAGCCAACAGAAGATCTCGTGGCGACGAAATTTTCACTTTCAAAGTACTGCATAATATCATAGGAACGAACTTAGCGTACATGTATCATTTGAATATCAGTGATAGACTCAGGAGATATGAGTTAAATTTGATCAAAGAAAGAACTTCTTCCAGGTCTCGCTCAAATTTTCTTGTAAACCATGTGGTGAACCAATGGAACAGCCTTCCTGGTACAATTGTTAATTCTCCTAGTATTAACTGCTTGAACAGATTCGACGCATTCAACTTATAAGTTTAGTGTTATTTAGGAGTGCAGCTTTTTTTCTTTTATTATTAAAAATGTCACTTAGTTGTATTTGTTTTACCGCTATCCTTATTTTTGTATTAATAATAATAAAATATAACTGTATACTTATGGTTTATAGTGCATTCGTATTTTTTAAAGTTACTTATACAGGGTGATTCACAAAAAATGAATGAGACAACATATTTTATTGATCAAATCAAGAACGTATATGCTGGATGGTTCGTTTCTAAGAAGGTCCTGAAAAACTCGCACCAAACTTTCGAAAATAAAAATTTCACAGTTGAAGAAGTAGTTTCCCAATTCTAATTTATTTTAATGAACTGCATATCTAATAGACAGTTAACTAATTACTCTTTCATTTGATAATAATACGATCCACAACATCATCCAATATTTATCCGAATTTTAGACTGTCTATTAAATTCACATTAAAACATATCAAAATTACCAAGTCAGTTTTTCAATTTTGAAGTTTAATGTTTTCAAAAATTTGCTTCAGGGATTTCTTTTACCATTTTTTTGGAGTCCTTCAGATATGTAATATGAATATGTATCTTTCCTAAAATGTTGGTGACATCATACAAAATTTTATTATGGAAAAGCTCACTTGAACCATACGCAATTACGCATATCGTGCTTATTTATCTGTACTTTAACAGTCCACACATAACTTTGTTTTAATGTGAATTACCGTAAAAAATAAAATTCTCAAAATAAAATTTTATAATTTTTCGAAGATGTTTATTTGACGGTACTTCAGGAGCGAGGGAAGTTCTATCTAAATAATAAATAACTATAACATTAGTTATCGAATACCAGAGTTCTACAGATTTTTAAGTTGTGTAATAAAAAATGTTCTGTTTTTAAATCGCAACGCACAATCAGTGTGTTTTTTTTAATTGAATCTATGTATGCCGAGAAAGCAGTAAGATAGATATGAAGTTTGCCCTTTATCGTTGCACTTTCAACTCAAATTTTCAAATTGACGGTAAACTAACAAGACAAATCTTCAAAAATCCATGGCTCTCCAGTTTACCTTGTATTCCAAAATATTGTAACTTGAAGAACTTAAATAATTAAAATGACTGCATTATAGACATGTCACAAAAAAAACAGGTATTTTATTTAAAGTAACTGCATGGTAATACACAAGTTATTACGATGGTGTGGTGACAAATTTTAAATTTTAGTAGTAAAGAGTAAAGAAATCAACAACGTGCGTAAAAATCTCGACATTCTTCACAATCACAAGTGTAAAATCTTATCTTTCTAAGTTTGATAATTACAGTGATTCATAATTTACCTTAAATTCTTTTTTATTAGTTTCAAGTAGCTGTCTCAAATATTGAAAACAAACTGTATCTTTCGTAAAGGAATGATGAAGGTCTGAATATTTAAGAGAAACTGTTTGTTTATCAAATTATTGCGCATGTTTTTAAATAGTATATGTGATGGGTTAAACAACTTTCCGTTTTAGAACAAATATTCAAAACTTCGTAGCAAGATCTGTAGGCACCTCAAGTTCTAGGGCTGAGTAACCTTCCAATTAAGAATGCTGTATTAAAAACAACAAAATTAAGTTTTCCAAAAACATGAATTACATAACGAAAATGTTATCATGAGTTTTCTCGTAAAGATTTTTTGCCGGCAAACCTTTACTAAACAAACAAACACCACCTGCTATACACGTGACGCTTGTAACGCTTCACAAGGCAAAGGATATGTTTTTTAGTCCCTTTGAAACAATTTTGTCGACTATGGCGGAAGTATGGAGCTACTAAAAATCTGGCTACAAATTAAAACCTAATCGCTAAATGCTCTTGACTTTACTTTCATTATTTAAGATTAGATTACAAACAAAAAAATAGAGTTCTCATTGTTTATTCAGTATACATAATACGTAAGAAATAATTCCAATAAGAGATTGCGATTGTTATCAATGTTATAAAACTGTGTGATCTTAATTTACTTCTCTTTAGTATACCAAAATTATTGCAACAACGATGTTTATCACAAAGTCAATAACCGGTGACTGTATATCCTTAGTGATCACCTTCTTAGTGATTCTAATAGGTTACTTCAAATGGTCGTACCAGTACTGGCACAAGCGCAACGTCCCCTACCTACAGCCTCAGATTCCGTTTGGCAACATCAAAAACCCTCTACGCAGTAAAGAATTTTCCGGCGTCACAATAAAAAAAATCTATGATGAAATGAAAACCAGAGGCTGGAAACACGGTGGCCTGTACGTCTTCAACAAACCGAACTATTTTCCCATAGATTTGGATCTTGTCAAAAACGTGATGACCAAGGACTTCCAGCACTTCGTAGACCGAAATACCTTCGCTAATGAGAAAGAACCACTGCATGAACATCTTCTTAACCTCAAGGGGGCCAAATGGAGAAATTTGAGGGCCAAGTTGACACCGACTTTTACTTCTGGAAAGATGAAGATGATGTTCAGCGTAATGGCAGAGTGTCAAGAGGGTTTACAAAAACGATTGGAGAAAGAAAGTCTCAAAAACCAACCCATAGACATAAAGGAAGTTTTAGCTTGTTTCACCACAAACATCATCGGGACTTGCGCCTTTGGTTTGGAGTTTAAAGCGCTGGAGGATGAAGATTCGGCTTTCCGAGAATTTGGGCGACAACTGTTTACAGTGAGCAAGCTACAAATGTTCAAAATCATGTTCATCAGAACGTTTCCAAAATTGGCGACTTCTTTAAATATTTCTGCTGGTAGAAAAGAGACGTCGAAGTTCATTATGAATATAGTTGAAGATACTGTTGGGTATAGAGAAAAAAATAACTACACCAGGAACGACTTCATGCAACTGTTAATAAATTTAAAGAACAAAGCACCCCCAGAATCTGGCGCTCATGACGGAAAACCTTTAACAATGAACGAAATTGCTTCCCAAGCTATCGTTTTCTTTGCAGCAGGATTTGAAACGTCTTCCACATTGATGACTTTCGCTTTGTACGAGTTATCCAAGAACCCAAACATTCAAGAAAAACTCAGAAGTGAAATCAATGAAGTTCTGGCCAAACATCAAAACAACATCACTTACGATTCCATTCAGGATATAAAATACCTGACTCAAGTCATTGATGGTAAGTGTTGAATAATCACAAACATCGAATTACATATATACCTTGCTTCAGAAACATTTCGAATGCACCCACCAGTACCAACACTCAATCGCAAATGTACTAAAGACTACAAAGTGGAAAATCAAGATGCTGTCATCGAAGAAGGTACTCCTGTTTTGATATCAGTGCTGGGGATACATTATGATAAAGACTACTACCCGAATCCTGAAAAATTTGATCCTGAAAGGTTTAGTGATGAAAATAGAAAGTCAAGACACCACTATGCCCATCTTCCTTTCGGAGACGGGCCTCGCAATTGTATCGGTAAGAAATATACATGTGTTAAGAAATTAATATTGTGTACTTTTTTTGTAGGAATGCGGTTTGGTCTGTTACAGTCAAAGATGGGATTAGTTTCGTTGATCAGAAATTTCAAATTTAGTCTTAACGAAAAGACAAAGCAGCCGCTTATTTATAAACCAAACAGTCTTGTTTTGTCAGTGGAAGGAGAAGTTTGGCTTAATGCAGAAAGAATAAACACAATGTAAGAAAGAATTTTGTAGCAACAAGAAATATGGATTATGAACTCATGGCTATCACTAAATAATATGTATAATTTGTTTTTTTTGTTTGTTTTAAGTTGAAATAAATTGATTTTTAACGCTTCCTTGCTGTAGTTTAATGGCTCCGGTTTTGCTTAATTTTTATTTTAATCGATACTTTTTTGGTTGGTTTGAACATCACCTTGTTTTAAGTGCAATTCCCGTTGACATAGTTGATAAAAAAGAAAGAGCTACACAATTTCCTGGGCGAAGTCTTATGTACCGCTTACATATTTTTTAATACAGGCTTTCTATAAATGATTATAGGGTCGCAGTAGGTCTTGTCTCTCAGATTTAACTGTACGGAGATCCGTACTAAGTGCCCAAGGACGCATGACAAAGATCATACATGTGTATAACTGGTTGCCTAAACGCTTCATATGTTTTTAAAAAATAAAACTAATTCATTACGATAAAAATAAACAAATTTATTTCGGTTAAACATCACAGTAAATGTTGAAAATGTTCATCATTTTGTTCAAGGTACATGTTCACTCTCTTTTTAATTTCAAAAATGTTCTGTAACATCCTTTGGTCTATCCTTTGGAACCGTTGTTCAACTGTTCAATTCTGCTCAAATCGTCTCAAATCATCAACAATTTCCTCAGATGAAATCTTCCACGAGCTTCCTTTTTGTTGATACTGCCAGTTCGAACAAATCTGTTGATTACATCTCTAATGTGAGCCTGTAACCAGAGATAATAGAGATATGACAGCTCGCAAAATTAAGCGACAATAGTCCTTATGTACTGCGCCCCAAACCGTCACTTTCGGGCGCGCTATTTAAATTTGAGTGAAACTTTCGTAGCGCGGCTATTTGATTACCAGGGATATTACCAATCGTAAGAATATACCAAATGTGGTTAATCTTTCTTCCAAAAATACTAGGTTCCTCATAAATGGAAAAAGACAAGATTAAAAAAATTACAATCATTAAGTTTATTCGAAAAATGATTGTATTATATCTAACATTTGTTGGTGCTTTTGTAATGTTTACATCCTGATTAATAGTAAATGGATAAAAAAAAAAACATTAAATTACTCAAAATGCTTGTATTAACTTTTCTTATCCTTTAAAACTCTAAAATGTGCATACACAACACAAACTGTACAATTTTATAGCGAGGATAATAATAAAAGCACCCTCTAGCCCATTAGACGATTGTTATTACAATCTAACGTTGAAATTCAAGGACGACACTTTAAGGGGTACAGATACAGTTGTAATATTGAATGTTACCTTTCCATTGCGAAGATGACTTTAGTCACTTTTAGTTCTGTGCGGGTGTTAATAAAATTATTTTTTTCCTCATATTATTAATAGTTATTTACATCACACTTTATTAGAATATAAGCAAATACAAGCTATTGTTCTGTATAAAATATATGCAGCACAACCCAACTGGTAATTGTGCTTTTGATTTAGCAACATTTTGTGGGGGCTAACAAATCCCACAAAATTGTGCAACATGTAATATTTGTATATAGTCTGTATTTATTGACTTCCAACCACTATCACCCTGAAACTTTCTCTTCGTCCACCTGCATGTCGTAAAACTTATCTTTTGTTCACCCTTCCCAATAATTCTTATCCTTCGAAGATTTCGAGTACCTTCTAAGAACTCTTTCGACACAACCGTTTCACCGCTCTCTACCAACCTGTCTTTTCATTTTCAAAATCACAGACTCTAACACTCTTCCCTTATCTACTGAACCGACAACATAAAAAATAAATACACCACGAACGCAAGTCCTGTTTTAATCATTTGATCACACCACAATTCTTATCTGCTAATCAAGATATTTCCAATTTAAGTGAGAGGTACAACATCCCCACCATAATTAATAATTCCCAACCACCTCATAATGCCCTAAAAATAGATAGGATAGAGTACAAAGAGTTTGATTTAGCTGAACAAAATATCTTACGATAAATATGTGGATACTCAGTGGATGCATGCTTAAAACACTCTTCTCAGATATGCTATGAATATACAAATGCATGTGGCAGAAATTCTAGAGACTACATTATTGTCGTTTCCAAGCCCACAATTCTGAAACTTTATCTTATGGCAATCTTAATGTTCCGTATGAACAGTTTTCATATTACATTGAACAATTAGAAAATGCCTTCAGTAGTTCATTTGAACATAATACACTTTTGCTTCAAGTTCCTAGACAACTTAAAAATCAGCTGGCCTTAATAGCATCCATGTAGTAATCTCCCCCTTGATTACCTTTTGTCATTATTTGTGCGATTACGTATATTTTATACATTGAAATTCCATAATAGGGAACTACAAAAGCAACCTAAAAAACAGAGGAAATTAATCATTTTTTCCCATTTATAGAGCATTTGCCAGTTCCATCGATTAATAATTAATTATAGGTGTAGAAAATCATCGGTTTACTTATCGATGTTATTTTTATAGAACTATTCCTGTACTTACCAATAGTATATTGTTTGTTAAAATGTATGTAACTGTAATAAATACATACATACATATGCAGTTAACATGACTTTTCTTTTATAATTTGAAACCATCGCATCATATTTAATTGAGGTTATCTCAGAGTTCGTGTTGTTCGTTCGTTATGTCACTTTTACTAGTAATATATTTAGTAACATTTAACATACATGTTAGGACATCAGGTTTACCACCACAAATGTTGCGCCCCCAACCGTCCTTTACGTCAAATTCTGTGTTCACTTCGCTCCCATGCATTTCTTATGGAGCATTCAAAAGCTGTCATATCTCTGTTATCTCTGCTGTAACCATGTTTTTTGAATTATTAAATCACGGTATTTGGCCAGATATTCTTGCCTACAAGCGGTTACAGAATATACTCACTCTTCGTTTACGAAGTCCCATTGTGATAACAAGACATTACGATGAAAGTGTTTTGTTCAACAGAATAGACCATTTTCACAGTCTTCGCTTCCTGGCAAAAAAGAAAATTTTCGTACGCAACCACCAAGAGTTCTGAAAATGACCGTTGTGTTGTTTTGAGCTTAGATCAACGAGAATGAGTGTAATTCGCACTTGAAAAACATTAAGACAATTAAAACGACGACTTGAAATGACATGTTACAAATGTCCGCGAAGCGGGATTTTTGAAATCCATGGCCAACTACGCCCTTAGAATCATTTATAAAAGCCCTGTATATAGTTTCCTGTAACGGAAAATTTCCGTGTTGTTATTGTTAAAGGCCTACATTAGAGATGTAATCGACAGATTTGTCAAGATTGTCTCAGCCGTCAGGAGTTCCTGTTGCACCATGAATTGAACAATGGATCCAAAGTTTTGAGGAAGGGATGTTGCAGAACATTTTTGAAAATAAGAAACATTTACTGTGATGTTTACTCGCAATAAGTTTGTTTATTTTTATTGTACTTAAGTTTTATTCTTTAATAACATAAGGTATGAAGTATTTCGGCAACCAGTTATACAGATGCGTGTGGTATTTGTTGTGAGTTCATTGGCATTTAGTAAAATACTTATAAAGTGACAGACGGCACGCTTCCATGATCTCCTTCGACCCTAGAATCATTTAGAGAAACACTGTATTATTATGGGCGTAAGGTGCATTTCTATTGATTATGAATCTTATGACAGGATAATAAGTCCGATGTGAAGAAAAAAAGTTGAATTTATTGTTGTCATTTTGGTTGATGTTCCTAAACTAATTGAAATATTTTTTTGTACTGCTGTATCTGAAAATGACAAATACCATATGACATTAGCAAGCCGCAATTTTGCTTGCAAGATCTAGAGCCGCAATATTGTCTTAATGTTGTAGCTCGGAAATTTCAGTTTACAATGGTAAAATGCATTTTTGTACGAAAAATACAAACATTGGACTGGTAATATTACTAAAATTGCACCCGATATTTCAAGAGCTGAGTGAATTTTATTTGCAGCGTTAATTTGGGAGCATATGAAGTGGACAATATATAATATATATTTATATTTTTTTATATACTTACTATAAAATTTGATTTGACGTTTTTCGGCGCCATAAATAACACCCCAGCAGCCCCTGTGCCGTACGGACAATGTAGAATGTATTAAAAGCACATAAGTAACGGGATAAAATGTCCTTCAGCACTAGGTAATAGCAATCTAAATCTCCATTGTTTATTTATGTTCATACATCGAAAGAATGTCACGCAGAAATTAGTTTGATTTGAATGAGTATTTCAAAGATTTTGCCCTGTTTTTAAAGATATATTTAACAAGCAAATTTCTATAAAAAAACACTTTCTCCTGTTTGCAAAGGTATATTTAAAAGTATTTTCAAAAATGTTTGACTGTTTTAAAGCAAATATTTCAAGGATTTTGCCCCATTTTTAAGCTAGTTTTTAAAAAGTAACATTTTTAAAAAGCTTTGCCCTGTTTTTAGAGGTATATTAAACGAATTCTAGTAAAAAATTCAGTAGCTAATAATAAAAATTATTTGATACTTCATAATTTTCGGGACCCGTCATTCAGACAAAAAAATATACATTTTTAGAATATAGAAACCCATTGATACAAAATAATTTTCAGATTTAAAATCTATGGATTCCATAATTATTTAAGAATATTATTGGTTTGAATGGTAGGCACCCAACATCACAAACTATTAATGTATAGGAGTATTATTTTAATTTCATATAACTTAATTTGACGACTTAATGGCGTAATTTTTTGTCTTGTTTTTTTTTTCTAATTAATCTTGCGGGCTATCGACCATGATGTTAGCCGCCTCCACGATTCTGCTGATGAGAGAAATTTAACGTAAGTAATTAAATAAGTGAGTAAAAATAATACATGTAATTTGACTCAGATGACAGAGGAATTAGTATTATTCAAATTACGCACGCAAGTGCGGGGAAACCAATTATTAGAATTAAAATTATCCAATAGAGACAATCAGCTCTTGCAACTGCGAAAAATTCACCAGTAGCAATTGGAATTAAAGGAAAACGAAATTCAACTAATGCAAGTTAAACACGATAAGGTTATAGCAAAAATGAAACATAAGCAGCCCATCACTTGGGGAACGAATACAGGACATTTTGCAGGTAGCAATCAAATTGTAGCATTACATCATTGCACGCAGTGAATTATTTCGTGCTGGCCCCTTACAAGAAGTGTTTGATCAAATGGGAAAGAAGTTAATATATTATCAACATTTTAAATTCTATAGACACAAACAACTTAAGATAAGGGGCGTCATTGGTTATCCGTGTGTAAACCAGAACTGTAACGTGAAGATAGATATTGTGGGCAATATTATTCCAGTGTTTTCTAAAATATGATGTGGTGGACATGATCCCGAAAATATTACTGTAAAATATCTAAAATCGACAAAAAGTAAGTAACCATCTAAATTAATCCACTGTGAGGTTAGTGAACAAGGAAACATTCTAGATACTCTGATTAAGATATTATAAATACATAAGGAAAGTTATTAATAGAACAAAGCTTCAAACAGTACCGAAATTGCTCCCTTCAACAGAAGAGTCCGCGATTTTCTCGATATTGTAGAAGTAAGAACTCAAAAAAACGACGAATACGGTATATTTCAAATAATATTTTCTTAATAATCTTTTGAGACGAATGTAACAAGTTTTTGATATCGCCGTGTTCAGAATGCCCTAGTATAGTACAAAATTGTTTGTCAGATACGGACAGATGGAACTGTCTGAAGTAAATCCAGAAATAGTACTCCTAACACTCAATTCCACAAAAAAAAAATAACTAGTTTATAAGAAAGAAAAATTTTAAAATTCGTTGAAACGCTAAACCATTTATTATATAAGTACTTAATTAAAAGTAGTACTGGTTAAAAAACAAGGTCAAAGAGGGGGTCATTATTTACCAACTGCTTCACTTAACCAGACATTATTCTTTATTACAGTCTCAACTCGCTATTAGATTTAGCAGTGATTTTAAGCCGCGAATACGATACGTACTGAGAAGACAAAACCAACAAAGTTTGAGTTTCAATTTGCAAATGTATTCATACGTAAATTTCGTCTTCTTTACTTCCCACGAAACAATTAGCGAGTCATAATTACACAAGGTAATGATTTAGCAGTTGTAAAGTTATAAGAACATAATCTCTTTGACCTAGAGCAGTAGTGAGCCAGACTTCGAAATGCTCTCAGACAATGTAGTGCAAAACTTAGTCGGTGTATTCGTCGCATTAACCGTGATCTTGATCGGTTACTACAAATGGTCGTACCAGTATTGGAAACGAAGAAACTTGTCATACTTGAAGCCAAGAATTCCTTATGGCAACTTATCCAGCCCCGTTCGACGCAAAGAACACCTTGGAGTGACAATTCAAAAAATCTACAACGAAATGAAGAAGAAAAGCTGGAAACACGGGGGAATTTACTTTCTGGTGTCTCCGGCGTACTTCGTTGTTGATTTAGACTACGTCAGAAACATCATGACTAAAGACTTTCACCATTTTGTGGACCGTGGTATGTACTACAATGAGAAAGACGACCCTCTGAGTGCCCACCTATTCGCTATTGGAGGCCCAAAATGGAAAAACCTGCGTACGAAACTAACTCCGACTTTCACGTCCGGAAAGATGAAGATGATGTTCCAAACTCTTGTGGACTGTGAAGACAGACTGTTAAATAAAATTCAGTCAGACTGTGAGACGAAAAGTCCTATTGACATTAAAGAGGTACTGGGATGTTTCACTACGGACATTATCGGTTCTTGTGCTTTTGGTCTCGAACTTAAGACGTTCGAGCAAGAGAATTCACCGTTCCGTGAATACGGCAAACGGATTTTCAGTACCACCAAACTGAGAGCTTTGCGGCGAGCCATATCGACGAGTTTCCCCGAGTTTGCTCGAGCTATTGGAGTAAAGACCGTCCCCAAGGACATTGCGACTTTCTTTATGAAGGTTGTGAAAGACACGGTTGAATATAGGGAGAAAAACAACTATACCAGGAAAGATTTTATGCAGCTGTTGATCGATTTGAAAAATAACAGATTGGAAGACGACGGTTATAAGCATGATGGCAAAACCCTGACGCTAGAGGAAGTTGCTGCACAGTGTTTCGTCTTCTTTTTAGCTGGGTTCGAAACCTCGTCTACCACAATGACTTTCGTCCTATATGAGCTTTCCAAAAATCAAGACTTGCAGCAGAAGCTCAGAGATGAAATTAATAGCATTTTGGCCAAACATAACGGTAAAATCACATACGAAGCAATTCAAGACATGAAGTACATGAATCAAGTGACTGAAGGTAGGTCTGTCAAATTTAAAAACGTTTAAAAATCCAAGTTTTGCAGAAACTTTGAGGAAGTACCCTCCAGTACCTTTCCTTACAAGAAAATGCGTTAACGACTATAAGATACCGGATCAAAATATTACCATTGAAAAAGGGACGGCGGTTATAATTCCAGTTCTTGGTATTCACCGCGACGAGCAGTACTACCCGGATCCGGACAAGTTCGATCCTGACAGATTTACTGAAGAGAATAAAAAATTGAGGCATCATTATGCTCACATTCCGTTTGGGGAAGGGCCAAGGCTTTGTATAGGTATACATTACCAAGTTTTCAATTTTTTTTTTAATGAAACGAATTAATTTTAAGGTATGCGCTTCGGTTTGATGCAGACTAAAGTAGGTTTGACGGCTCTGTTGAAGAATTACAAGTTTACTGTAAATGAAAAAACGAAGGAGCCGCTGACCATGCAAGTGCATTCTTTTGTTTTGGCGGCAGAGGGTGAAGTTTGGTTAAATGCTCACAAGTTATAAATGTTACTAAATAATCGTTTGTAATGTCGTTATGTTTAAGATAATCTTTACGTGCTATGTTAAAATAATGTTATAATATGGATTATACATAGTGGCTGTTGTAGTAGGTATAGGTACCAGAAAATCAAAGTTCTTCTTTGTACCTTTTTATAGAAAATAAAAGAAGTTCAATTATTGTACATAGCGAGTTAAAAAAAAAAAATTAAAGTTTATAAGCAATGTCAAAAATTGAAGTATATCATAACGTATATTTAAAAATATAATGTAATGTATTTAACAACATAGTAAAAAGACTTCATCAAATTGATGGACTAAATATATTAACAGAAAAACACTCATAAATAATCTTCGTCGTGATTGGCTCAAGGTTATTATCTCAATGATAATAAAAAATGAGAACACAAAGCTGAGCACAGAAACGTCATAATACATTCAATTTAGAACTTGGAACACGAAAAATCATATAAGAAAAGAGCCAGTGCTACAAAATGCGAAAATGCATTATGTTGTGATTACGAAAACGAAAAAGAAAAACAAAGGACTAAAGAAGTTACCAAATGGATACTGGATACAGTAATGACAGTCAATGAAGACAAAATGAAATATGTGAAAAAAAACTTTATAAATGAAAGAATAATGCTGAGAGTGGGAAAATACTGAAACGTGAACAATGGACATATACAATACACAAACAATAATAGTCACCTATAGACTAAACGAAGACTCAAGAAAAGAATGTAACAATTGTTTCTTCGAAAAACTACGCGAAGGAGTAATTAGAAGTAACAAAAAACTGTGATGTGGAAACCAACCGGTAGGGTTGCGAATAAGAACGAAGGAATTGAAAGATGCTTAGACAAAAATGGGAAAAAAGTCAGAAATACATATTCTACTAAAAAAGAGACAAATAAAGTAATAAGACAAGTAACTAGCAGAAACGAAAAATCAGTGATCGATTATTTCCTTGTAAACAAAGGAGCTTGGGAAAAAGTAAAAAATTAAAAGTGAGAAAGGGGACATATATAGCAAGCAATCATTTTCTTCTGATAATGAGGTTTAAGCAGCACAGCAGAAATTTAGAAGAAAAGAGAAGGGTAATAAAGAAAAAATCAAATGCGAAAGCTGAGGAACAAACAAACAAGGGAAATTAAAAACAAATATTGAAAAGCTACTGAAAAATAAAGGCTAGGAAAGGAACATGGAAAACAAATGGGGAAATCTCAAGTTAATTATCGGTGAGAGAAATTACAAAATTGCAAAAATTACAAGCAGAAATATGAAACAAAACTTCGGCGAAAAGATGAAAATGCAGTTCATAATAATAACAGTCAAAAACTGTTCTTTGCAATCCTAAAAAACATGCCACAGAAGACTTCTCTAACAAATATCAAAGATAAGAAAACGAAAGGTAATACAAAAGAAGATAAGATCATGGAAAGTTGGAGTTATTAGAAGCAAAAGATGTAATGTGCGAGAAAATAGATGAAATGAGAGGAAAAGTACCACAAGAGGAAACAATTTGCTTGCTAAGATATGAGACACAATAACAACCGACATGATAAAAGTCCTGTTAAAAACTGCCATATTCAAAACGATAGTAAATGGAGAATGAAAGAAAATAGTAACCAGCGGTTGGCAAACTGGGATTATAACAGTGGCGGCGCGTGACCTGTTGAAATGGGAGGACACAATTTGATTGATGAGTTATATGAAGATATAAAACGGGCTGTTATTACCAATTAATAAACGAAATTGTGTAGAGGAAATAAATACAAAAATATATACAATGGAAGTAAAAAAGTACTTGTCCACATACCTTTTCGGCTTCTGTCAAAATTTTACACTGATGGTGTGATGTTGAAACATCTGATTTTTTCACATAATTTAAGAATTCATAAAAATACAAGTCATACCTGGATTTTGTGATTCTCTACTTTCGTTTTGTCCACGTAAACCAAAGTCGAACACTCCACAAAATTTTATCCACATTATCAACCGGTGTAATACTAATAAATATATGGCAATTTTTGTCGACTCTTTTATTGTTAGTATAGGCGGTGTCTAGTTGTTTCCGAATGTCTGTATTACTAAATGACGCAAATAATTCGCACTTCTATAATGCTATAATTAATCCTGGGCGATGGTTTTAAGTCATTAGTGAGGAGACATACAAAACAATACAATTTTTTTTTCACAACCGCACATCCACGAAAATTTATCATACGAAAGTCTCTCGTTTTGCCATGAACACTTTTTTTTATTAATAAATCGGGTGTGGTTCTCCCTAAATTTTTCCCTGAAATTTTACCGTCGTAAGGCAGAGGACTACTTTTTATTAAATATTCAACTGAATTCATTATTTTTATTTAAAACATCAAACAATTTCACTCGCACAGAATGAAAATGAAATCCCGCAATTGAGTTACTGCCAGTGGTCACTGTTCAAGCAGGACCTGTTTCTAGCAAATACAACGACTAGACGCACGGTTTCCAAGGCAACTGAGTAAACAAAACGCCTAAATGAGTCGTGATTTGGTCTCCGCTTTTATCAGCATTTCACCAACAACATATATATCCAAGACACAACATCTGCAGATGTAAGTTTTGATAGATTTTATATAAATGAAGCGAGATTAAAAAATTAATTTTGGTAATTATGAGTTATGACACAAATTTCAGGATAATTTTTTATATAATGAAACTACTATTTTGAGATGTCCAGTGTGTTCGTAAACGTTGTAATTTTGGGACGACACGTGCCCTTGTGCCTCCTGCCACCAGCCGCCCCTGGATTATAACACTTAAGTACATTAAAAAAAAGTAATAACAAATCATATTATACCAAGAGAAGAATCACATTAATCAGTACAACAGGAAAAATTAAGACGAGAATTGCAGATAAGACATTACGAGGAATGATGAAGGAGGCTCTAGGCGAGGTATAGTTAGAAACATAAAAGGAATAAACGACGTAGCATTTCTAAAGAGACAAATAAAGAAAACGGTGGAAAAAGCATGAAGTGATTTTTTAAACATAGAGAAGAATTTTGAGAGAATAATAAGCAAGTTATTTGAAAAACTCTAGAAGCAATGAAAGAAGCAAAAAAAGCGAAAACGGCAGCTTTGGAAATGTGATTTATAAGAAAAATAGAAACTAAGAAATATAATCAGAAACACAACATGCATAGAGAGAATTTAAAAATAAAAGCAGTAGAAGAGAAAATAGAAGCAATAACATAGTGAGAAAACTGTTCGAAACCAAAACAATAAAAAGAAGAACGAAAGGTCGACAAAGGGGATATGAATAGAAGAGGTTCAGTTAATTACGCACGAACGAAAAAGTTGGAATGAGATATGTAGAGGTTCACATAAAAGATTCAGTTAGCCCCATCACCGTAGACCAACGATGTCTAGATTCTGAAGAGTATACAACAACAGAACTTGAGAGCCATGTCAGAATAGAAAACAAACAAGTAATTATGACCACAGAGTCCTTATTTACCCGGAATCACAGGCATCAATTTTGTCGCTACCAATAAAATCATATTTAAGCCATTGTTACTGGATCTGATTATCTAACACCGAACAAAACGCACTCGAAAATAAAATTACAGTATAGTGCGCTCCAAGATTTCTGAGTTTTACGACGTAGACGATATCGAAACAGGGGTGGAATTTTGTTTCTCGATCGAAGTGATAAATTATTATCACTTGCGATAAATGTCATTGCGTAGCTTTTAAATGCAAAGTTTGCATTTATTCTTTGCATACAAGCTTATTAAATGCTCAAAAGTTTACAATTACCTTAATTTTAAGAACTTATAACTCAGAATGTTCCCTCTTTTTATGACAGCAAGAAACTGGTATTCAAATAAAACAGCTACACACAGAATCTATAAAACCTTATAATAAATTTTATAATAATTTCGATTACCGCAAAATGTCTTTGCAGTGATTTGAAACCATGAACACAATAATTTTACTAAACAGACAAAAGAGACAGGTGAGGTATGTAGACTTTGAAATTCCAGCTACAGGTATAATTATATATAACGTTGTATTTAAGTTTCATAAAGCATTACAGAGCTATAATTAAACACAGTAATACAGTGGTTCTCAAACTATGGAGCATTTTATGTATGATATAACATTCCTATGTTATAATGTCAACACAACTAACAACAAGTTCTACCTTGAAATATTAACTTACTGTTAGCGATGGTTATCATCTTATTCAGATTAGATTTGAATTTTTGTGCAAAGAAAATCCACAAATTTGCGTTTCTACCACAATTACCACCGATTTTTATAGAAGTCAGATACGTAATGTCTCAGATGAACTTATGTGAAATAATTGAACTAATGTTTTTAATGGATTAATAGACAAATTTTTGCTTCATTAGGTATCTAACGACCTGTCAAATCTTTGACAGAATGTCGCTCAACCACACAGGACAGGATATGAGGAGAGACATGGAGAAGAGCAGCGGAAATCAAACAGCTCAGAAGACTATGGTCATAATTTTTGGAACAGAATGCTGGACAATTAGAGCTTTTCATTTGAAAATTTTGTATTATAGCACTGTTTAATTTAAACTAAATAAATATATCAATTAATGTTCAAATAAAATAGGTACACTCAGAAATGTAGGCAACAAATTCCACAAGACCCTACGACCTAAAAACATTTAGAATAACGCTGTATTTTTTCTAATATGTGCGTCCACAAATGTGTCTTCGCAGTGACTTTCAATTTCAACGTCAGTGTCTCATTTACGTCATAAGAAATAATTAAACACGAACAATATACTTGCAGTTGCACTTTTATAGGAACATAATCTCTTTGATATCAAAGCAGTAGTCAAAAAGGTTCGAAATGCTCTCTGACAACGTAGCACAAAATATAGTCGGCATATTCCTCGTATTAAACAGTATATTATTCGTTTATTTCAAATGGAAGTACCAGTACTGGAAACGCAAGAACTTGCCATATCTGAAACCCAAAATTCCCTACGGAAATTTGACCAGTCCCATCCAACGTGAAGAACATTTAGGACTGGCAATGCAAAAAATTTATAACGAAATGAAGAAGAAAAATTGGAAACACGGAGGAGTGTATTTTCTAGTTTCTCCCACTTACTTTGTTGTCGACTTAGATTACGTCAAGAACGTCCTTACTAAAGACTTCCACCATTTTGTGGACCGCGGTATGTACTACAACGAGAAAGACGACCCTCTGAGTGCCCATCTCTTCACTTTTGGGGGTCAAAAATGGAGAAACCTCCGTATGAAACTAACTCCAACTTTCACGTCTGGAAAAATGAAGATGATGTTCCAAACCGTTGTCGACTGCCTAAACGGACTATTAAAAAAAATTCGATTAGACTCCGAGAAAAAAAATCCTATTGATATTAAAGAAGTACTGGGATGTTTCGGTACTGAGATTATCGGTTCCTGCGCTTTTGGCCTGGAACTTAAAATATTCGATCAAGAAGATTCGCCTTTCCGTGAATATGGAAAACGAATTTTCAATACAACAAAACTGAGAGCTCTGCGGCGAGCTTTGTGTACGAGTTTTCCAGAATTTGCTCGAGCTCTTGGAGTAAAGATGGTTCCCCGAGATATCGCAAATTTCTTTATGAAGGTTGTGAAAGACACGGTTGAATATAGGGAGAAAAACAACTACATCAGGAAAGACTTCATGCAGCTACTGATCGATTTGAAAAATAACGTACCAGAAGATGCGGGTTATACACACGATGGCAAAACTTTGACTATGGAGGAGATTGCCGCACAGTGTTTCGTCTTCTTTTTAGCGGGGTATGAAACTTCGTCTACTACAATGACTTTCGCCCTGTACGAGCTCTCCAAAAATCAAGACTTGCAGCAGAGGCTCAGAGATGAAATTGAAAGCGTTTTGGCAAAGCATGACGGCAAGGTCACTTACCAATCGATTCAAGATATGAAGTACATGAATCAAGTGATTGAAGGTAGTAGGTCTGTTAAAGTTAAAAATGTGTAAAGACTCAAAGTTTTACAGAGACTTTGAGGAAGTACCCTCCTCTACCGTTCCTCACACGAAAATGCATTAGCGATTATAACATACCAGACGAAAATATCACAATTGAAAAAGATACCACGGTTATAATTCCAATTCTTGGTATTCATCACGATGAGGAATACTATCCAGATCCGGAGAAGTTCGATCCTGATAGATTTACGGAAGAAAATAAAAAATTAAGACATCATTATGCATATATTCCTTTCGGAGAGGGTCCAAGGATTTGTATAGGTACATAAATATATAGAGTTTTTCAACTTTGGAGACAAATTTATTTTTAGGTATGCGTTTCGGTCTGATGCAGACTAAAGTAGGTCTAACGGCGCTCTTGAGGAAGTACAATTTTACTGTGAATGAAAAAACAAAGGAGCCACTTGCGATGCAGGTACATTCATTTGTTTTGGCAGCAGAAGGTGAAGTTTGGCTAAATGCCCATAAATTGTGAGCGCTATTATAAATCTATAAAAAGACGGATATGTATGCACAAAAGTTTGTTAAAATATGTACTGGAAAGGGATAAAATCTACACTAATTTTGTATGTTTAAAATACTAATACATGTACAGGTTTTCATAGTATATTCATTTATTCTAAAGTGAATCTTATTAACCAGTAAAATGGTTGGAATAATTGATAAACGGATGCATTTTGATTAGCGTTTTACCATAATCTTACTCATGGTAAATAGTTAATCATAACCTTAAAATATTTGCAAGCACAGAGGACAGACAGACAAAACTGCCAGATATACTTTTAAGACTCTAAGGGTCATGAAACGTCGAGAAAACATGAAAGTGGCCATTTCCTAGACAAGCCCTATTTCAACTAGTACAATGGTTCGCACATTGTAACGAACAAATACAAAAGAATTATGATGACATAGAAACGATAAAAACGATAAAACATAAAAAAACGAAAACTCGTTTGAGTCGCACTAATGACTTCTCATTTTGCAAAATAAGTATATTTATCGCAAGTAATTAAACTGTAAGAATGATAACATTAAATTGACGTATGTCATTAGTTTTGATAAATACTAGTCAGCTTTATGTTTATATGTAACCCTATCCACCTAGTATCATTTGAATTATATACTACGTTCCAAAGTCTACTTACCTACTGACTGAACATACACGTGTATGTAAGTATTAAATTTATTTTCTTTGTTACTTATAACGGTTCCCTTTCTGATCGTCTTCACCAACAATTTGATAACGTCATTTCAAATTTTTTTAAAGGATATCCTACCACTTTTAATTAAATTTTATAAAACAAATTACTTCCTATACTTGTGGTTGATGAATGGGCTTTCGTTTTTTACCTTTGACATTAAAATTTTTGGAAAAAATTCTAAATTGTGCAACATCAATTTACATTTTAGAAATTGCAAAACCGAATACTCTGTAGCAGTAATTGTACTTTCAATAGCTTCAGGTTCGAATAATTTACTAGCCAGTGGCATTTTTCAACGACTCGGTTCACTACACACGTCAGGAAAAAACTCACTTATACTTTGGTACACGTTGAATAAAAAATTACAAAGTGCTACATTTATCCATATGCATTAGTCGTTGACAGATTTGAAATGGTTTAGTAGTGGTTTTCAGTATTTTAATTTAAATAGTCCTCTTACATGATACGGTTTCGAGGAACCTGTCGGCCTTGTGTAACTAATTTCACTAATATCCAATAACTGAAAAGTTTTATTTCAATATCTGTCTAACCACCACCATTATGTACATTGAAAACAAATCTTAGCGTCAAAGCGCACAAAAAATGCAAAAAATATGTAAATTACTCGTAGTAAAGGTCACCAAGTAGGCTCGCCTACATCTTACGACGATATAAAAACTCAGAGAAGAAAAGATTATCAGAAAACCACAATGGTGCTTTCAATGCAAAGATGGATCGGCAAAATAGCAATCGTCACGGGTGCTAGTTCCGGGATTGGGGCGGCCATTGCTGACCACCTTGTTGAAAAAGGATTGATTGTAAGACCCCAAATACAATATAGCACAATTTTTGACAGACTTTTTAGGTGGTGGGTTTAGCACGGCGGTCCGAACGAATCGAAAAAAGATCGAAAGCACTAGATGGGAAAAAAGGGAAACTGTATGCAGTCAGAACCGACATGAGTAAAGAAGAAGAAATTTTACGAGCATTCCAGTGGGTTGAAAGCAATCTAGGACATGTGCACATTTTGATAAATAACGCGGCGGTACTGAAAGAAAGTTATCTTCACGAAGGGAAGACAGAAGATTGGAGAGCCACTTTAGACGTGAATGTTCTAGGACTATGCACTGCCACAAGAGAAGCGTTTAAAATAATGCGTGCAAATGGAATTAGTGGACACATTATAAACATCAACAGCCTCATTGGTCATAAATTGGCTAACATACCCATTTTCAACGTTTATTCTGCTAGTAAGTACGCCGTTGGGGCGTTGTCTGGTATTCTAAGGCAAGAGCTGGATAACTTGAATTCGAAGATTAAAGTTACGGTGTGTTTTTGTAAGTGTGTTGTGTTTTAGTTTTAGAGAAATGTTATAGAGTTTGAGCCCTGGATTAGTTTCCACTGAGATGACTGACCTTAATCCAGAGAACAGTGCTGAGAGGATCCACTTGCTAAACAGCCTTCCGATGATCAAAGCTGATGACATTGCAGATGCTGTGGATTACGTATTATCTACTCCAGAAAACGTACAAGTAAGTGTTAAAATAAAAATTTGAATGATAATTGACAAACAATTTTAGATTCAAGAACTGATTATAACTCCTATTGGTGAGAAGTTGTGAGAAACCCGGTCTGTATTTTTACATGTCTTATGTATGTTTTTGAAATTAATCATGTTAATATCATTAATTATTATTATTCGTTACTAATATTGTTACATTATTACTTATGAAATTTTTAAGTTTAATTCATTCCGACGCTATAGAAAAAACACAACAAAAATCAAGTTTATGAAAGTATAATAACTACCTATCTCTTTGATATCCTTTTTATGCGTCTCAGCCTCTTCTTTGAGCTTTTATCGTTCCAGTTATATTGGTAAAAAATGAATACATTTTTTGCTCTCGCTGGAGTAAAAGTCGGTTTTTATGACCGCCAATTCGGGAGAGAAATAGAACATTTGCTCTCTAGGGAGAGAAATAGAATATTTGCTCCATAGGAAAACAAATTTAATTTAGAAGACAACAAATCATATTTCATCAGTAGGCTTCGGATCTTAGGTTTTTTGTCTTTTTATATCGACTTCAGGCATTGCAGCGAAATTTATATATTTATCCGAATTTAAAAAAGATTCTGTCAATTTAACGCCCATTTATTACTACCTAAAATGCCTAATTTACCGTTAAAGACCGAAAGTGTTAATTAAACGACCTAATTGTAAATTTTAAAAGGCTTAAAATAGGATTCCACGACCAACGAAGCGTGGCGGAGGTGAATCTCTGAAAAAGCATTGTATTTTAGAAGATTATTGTTAGTGATACTGAGTGTCTTTGCGTGTTAGTGAGTGTGCTGGGACCGGTTTTGATTTTTGTGCATACAGTAAAGAATCCTCAAAATCCCTAAGGTAAAATCATCCATGAAAGATAAAATCAAATTATGGTTAGGGAATAATTTGGACACTAATTTTCAATTTCCTTCTTCAACCAAAGACAATGAGTTATTCTGCAAAGTGTGTGGAAAAGTTGTAAGTAAACATTTAAAATACTGAAGCTTGTATTATGTTCATATTTTTGTTTCCTAGTTTAAGTGCGAAAAAAAATCACACTTTAAACAACACTGCAGTGGCGATGCACATAAAAAGAACAAGAATAAATCCAGTAAACAGACTTTATTAAACATTAGTTCCGACAATGATTTTACGCAATTTTGCACGGATTTATGTAGGGCATTTACCGCAGCAAATATTTCATGGAATAAATTTAAATTAAACAAATTAGAAATTCTATTGGCGTCGATGAGACGACGGACAGATTAGGAAGATACATAGCCCATTTAGTAATTGGAAAGTTATCTTCTGAAGAAGCTGGCCGTCCATTTCTACTAGCTTTGAAGCAGCTTGATAAAACTAATAGCAACACAATCTCAAGATTTATAAACGAATCATTGGGTGTGCTATTGATAATTTAAGCATTGAAATTATTATAATTTATTTAATTGTTAATTTGTAACTTTATTGTGGCCAAAAGGAACTGAACACAAAAAAGTTAAATGGTTTGTATCAGATGGTGCTTCATACATGATCAAAACTGGTATTAATTTGAAGGTGTTTTATGAAAATATAAGACACTTAACATGTATGGCACATGGGTTACATTTAGTGTCTAAAACAATTAGGCTGAATTATCCAGATGTCAATGGGATAATTAGCAATGTTAAAAAAATCTTTTTAAAAGCACCAATAAGAGTAGAGTTTTATAAAAACAGTTTACCAAATACACCTCTCCCAAATGAACTCTTGTACATTAAAACTGACTTTAAAATTATTGCTGATGCAATGGAACAATTAGAAACTATAGGTTTAAAATTAAACCACAGTATGGAAATTGTGAAAAAGGTGTTGCATCTTTAAAAAACACACCAGGAAAGGTGCGGGAAATGGCGTTCCAAAAATTATGTTCTCTATTAAAAAAGAATCTAGGATACGATTTTATATGTTGAGTAAATAACGTAATTTGCGGTAATGGAAATGGTACCAACAATACATACATAAACGGAAACGTAGATTGTTCAATATTTAATTTTGCACCCATCACTTCTTGTGATGTGGAACGCACGTTTTCAAAACTTAATAGTTATTTATGTTACAAGTGTTGAAAACGGTCCATTGCATTACGAACGGGAATACGGCGCGAGACGCAGTCGAGCGCTGTATGTAAGTGAGTAATGCAATGGAGTTTTCACACGAGTATCATACAATATTTTTTGCGCTGCCTTTTTGAAAAAATAACATTTTTCAATCGCTAAAAGAATAAATATTCTGAACCGAAATTATGTTGGTATTGAATTTATTACCAAATACGTCAAATACCAATCTGTCAATTTGTCCGGTCTAGATTTTGAATTTCAAAGTTGAAATGGAAAATCGTGCACGTATTCAGAAAATTGCAGATAAAGCAACTGCAAATTTGTTGCCTGCAAAATCCGCAGGTCCATATGAAGCCGAATATCAAAAATTCATCAAGTGGTGCGAAGAAAATAAAATACGCGAATTTTCTGAAACGACGCTCTTGGTTTATTTCCAAATTAAGTCGGAAATCATGAAAGCCTCCACACTGTGGACAATATATTCAGTTCTGAAAAGCACTCTTGGCATCAAACATAATATAAATCATTCGAAATTTTATAAGTTAACAGCGTTTTTAAAGCGGCAGAATGACACAAGCCCAATAAGTCTGAAATACTTACCAGTGGAAACATTTTTATTTACGGCTCCAGATCAGAGAGAATCTTGTGATTATGATTCAGCGTGAGGTTGCGAATAACGTCAAGTTTAAACGGTTTTTTTAATTAACAAGAACTACTAACAAATAGTAATAACATAATAGTTGTCAACAACATAAACCAAACCATCGAATAGTGTCAACTGTCAAATTACTACAAACCCAAATTTTGATCAACAAATTCCCCTATTTAAGATTACAACTTAAATTGCGCTTTTTTAAAATTTCGAGCCACTTTTTGTTATAATAACTTTAGATACATGATTATCAATTAGTAGTAATTACTTTGTGATAATCAATTTATTTTTTCAAAGCTTAAATTCCTCGTTTGTATTTTGCGGCGCTAGATCCTTTTTCATTGCCATTACGACACGCCACGTGTCAACGTAAAATGTCAATTACAACTATGGCAGCGCAAAAAAGTGTTTTAAGCAATCAAAGGTGTAAATTTACAATCGAAAATTTAGAGAAATATATAGTTTGCTTTTGTAACTCATTTTAAATACCTGAATTAATATTTTACTTTTTGTTAAATGCGACTTGCTTTAATTTGATCACCATTTTTTTGCGATAACTTAGAATTAGTAGACGTAACTATAGATCCTTTATTTATTTAATCATTTTTTTGTTCGTTACACAAAATATTTGTTTCTATAATGTTTTGTTTAATGTTTTTTTTTTTAAATATATATATTTTTTTGATGTATGCTTTTTCGTTGACCAAATATTTTTTCCTCTAGATTTTTAACCTAAACTAAGATTTTTATAATCTAATTCGTCAATTTTATGACCTACAAATGTCTCCTTTTATTCATTTTTCAACGACCTAAAATCCGAATCCTAATAATCACTCTACTAGTAGATCAATTTATTACACCAAGGCCACTGCAAGCCAGCAGTGATCTTTTCTGTATACTTCGAGCCACTCTTTGTGAAGCATCTTGCATCCTTTTCACACAACATCATGTTAATATACAGTTTGCGACATGATTCAAACTAATAATTTCCCTCCTCACCAGCGAATCATTAAATGCAACATGCATTATTTGCCCTACCACTTTTAATTGACATTCGTGACCTCTCTTCAAGCGAAACTTCTTTCATTCAAGGACGATGCAGAATACAACACAATAACACAAATCCGGTATGAATCCAGTTGTGAACTTACTCTTACATAACGAACATCGAAAATGGTTCTGTCCTTAAACCGATGGGTTGGAAAAATCGCTGTAGTGACAGGTGCCAGTTCTGGCATAGGTGCAGCCATCGCTGAGTTCCTTGTCGACAAAGGAATAATAGTTAGTCTCCAATTACAAACTTACAAAAATTAACTTATTTTTTCAGGTTGTTGGGCTAGCCCGTCGCGCAGAACAGGTAGAGGAGAAGGCGAAACAACTTTGTGGCAAGTCAGGAAAACTGCATGCTGTTAAAACTGACATCACCAGCGAGGAAGACATCGTAAAAGCGTTCAAATGGATTGACAAAAATTTGGGTCATGTTCACATTTTGATCAACAATGCTGGTGTTTCCAAAGACAATAATTTGTTAAGAAATGGAGACGCGGCAGCTTGGAGGCAAACTTTCGATGTGAATGTCATGGGTTTGTGCATTGCGACTCGGGAGGCTGTGAAGATAATGTCGGCTAATAATATTAATGGACACATTATTCATATCAATAGTGTGGCCGGTCACAGAGTGCCGAATTTTCCCGGAATTAACGTTTATACGGCTAGTAAATACGCAGTGACTGCGTTAACCGAGACCCTGAGGCACGAATTGAACGCCGTTGATTCTAAAATTAAAACTACTGTATGTTTTGGTTAAATTATTTTTATTGTTTTTTTAGATTTATTTTGTAGAGTATTAGTCCTGGATTAGTCACCAGCGAAATGACAATTTTGAATCCTGGTTTAAGCGACGAACGTCAAGATTTCATGAAAACTTTGCCAATATTAAAGGCACAGGATATTGCGGAAGCTATAGGATACATTTTATCAACTCCTGAGCATGTTCAGGTATTGTACTGTGTATTGTGGTGCTATTTTTTAAAATTCTTAATTTGCAGATTAATGAATTAACCATCACTCCGGTTGGAGAGAAAATTTAAACTGACCTACCCCTTGACCACATCATATGTTTGGAAGCACGATAATGTATACTTCTACAATATTTTTATTTTTATAAAGCAATTTCTAATTAGTTACGCTTTTTTATTGGCTGTAAATATAGAAATAAACCGTCAATAACTTTAATATTACTTTAACAGAATTCGTGTAGGCAAGATTTTTAAAATGAGTTTGTTTTAGGTAAGCTGACGGAACTTAACTGTATGTAAAATTACCTTTAATTAAAGATATGTGATATTTAAATCAGTGCCATTTTATTTTTATCCCATTATTTTTATCGTTCTATACAGGTCTCTGTATTGGTTCATAATTTAAGTATCTTTACAAATCGTAGATTTTATTATATAACAGGATGCATACGCATAACATAAAAAAAATTGCCCTTGAATTTCCGCAAACTGTTAAGTCATCCAAAATAATCCCACTAAAACAGGAATACAAATAGTACTTTATCATCGTACCAACATGAGTCAAGGTTTCATAGTTATATGATATTACTCACCGTGGACAATAATTTAGAAACATATTTAGGTTAGAACGTATTTTTAAACAAACTTTCATTCATTCATTTGTTGGAACACCAAAAATTGTATGCGTAATACATATGGTCGAAGAAATAAGTAAATACAGCTTCTCTAAAAGTTAATTTTGCGAATTTTATTTATTTACAATGAAAACCTCTATAATTTAAAATAAAAGTATGTTAAGCATTGGCACAAATAACACTCACGCAGCATCTGACTAGGGAGGGCGCAATCCGCACAGGTACCGGCAATATTAAATATATTTAATAAAGCGTTTAAAACCAACGGGAGCCATTTATATATTATCACTAAATGCTTAACTTCGATTGTTTATGATTGTAAGATTTCAGAGCATTCGGTTTTGCAGCTTCTAAGTTAAACTGTAAAATCTGGATGCCTAGGATAAAAATTCAAGGCGGATTTATAAACCACAAGCAGACCAGTTTGTTATTTTATAATATTTAAATGGCAATTACCAAGCAAAAATTGTTGGTGGGGTTGATTAGACATTTTTTTTCCTTTTATCGTCTTACATGATATTGCTAAAACACTATACCAGTTCGTTTTGTAGTCTCGGAGAGTGTCTGTCTAATAAACATCGACATAGACAGCAGATCGCAGGCAGGCAGACGGAAACAGGAGACGTATTTTTTCATTAGCTAGTGGTCATAAAAAATTAAGAGAACATGAAAGTAGCCGTTCGACAGACCGACTTTTCTTACCTTGTGCTCGAAAAGTAAAAATGAAGGCGAATTATTAAATCACAGGTAAAAAACTAAGACAATATTCGCCTGGAAGGTGGAAAAAAGAAAATGCAGATTTTGCCGAGATAGTCAAAATGAGGATAAATGAGAATGATAACCGGGCAGCAGAAAGTGTGGTAAAACTATTAAAGTAAGAGTGCGATGAAATAATCGATATTTGTAATTATTGTCGTTTCTTTTGGAAATGAGATGTATTAACCATATAGTGGAATATGCAGGTAAGTCGTTAATGTATAGAAGGAATAAAACTAGTCCTAAAACTCAACTTTCTGGTATACCGGATATAATTATCTTTCGAGAGGAAAAGAATACAAAAATTTGCTTAAATTTTGTTTGTTAAATACGACTTTATTAATAAAAAAGGCATCTCAAATGCGTTTAAATGGATTGAAAAAAATTTGAACCATGTTCATACCATTATTAACAATGCTGGTGTAGCCAAAGAGAATTAATTCTTCGCATTGTGACATATTGGCGATTAATTAATTAACCATCCATAGAGGTGCTACCTGTGTTTTGCGCTGCTCAGTTTTTTGGCCAAATTCTGGTGAGTTCTACCTATTTAATTATTGAATTTTGTGGCAACTACATTACAAGGTTGTTGGTGGGTGGTTTTCGGGGTTTGTTCATCGGGTTTTTCCCCCTGAGGGACTAATATTTGGTTTTGGTTGTAGTTAGTGGTGGGATTCTGAAGTTATCATTAGTGTAGGTACTGCTTATAAACAGGCCGTTGATAAAGTCAAAATAGATGTTTTCGGGCGAGTGTTCTAGCAATCAAATACTGATGCTAAGTTTCTATCTTTATATTATCAAAATGTGCGCGGTTGAAATTCCAAAACTACTGAATTTCTTCATTCCTCTTATACTACAGATTTTGATTTGATAGCTCTTTCTGAAACATGGCTCCATAAAGGTGTTAATGATTGCGAATTATTTAATCATACTTATGTGGTATACAGGAAAGATAGGAGTTTTCTTAAAACTAATACTACTAAAGGGGGTGGTGATATATTAGCAGTAAAAAAATTCACTCATTTCTTCTAAAATTAATTTACTTCAATCTCCTTTTAAGGCTGTTCACTTTATTGATGTCTTGGCTGATGATTATTTTCGTTCTGTTTTTGATGCTTTCTCTTCTTTTCAATTAATATTCAATTCTGATGTAATTATTGAAGGTGATTTTAATGTAACTGATTTTATATACATGGCTGATTCTAAATGCGTTTCTGGCAAAGCATTACCTTTGTTAGATTTCATGAATTTTATGAATTTGAAGCAATACAATAAAGTGTTAAATGTAAACAATGGAGTACTCGATTTAGTGCTGTCAAATAATAAATGTAGTGTCGTAAAATGTCTAGACCCATTTGTAAAAGAGGATATTCATCATCATTCTCTGTGTATTTCTGTTTCATATAATATCTATGATAATGAGTCCATGATGGGACGTTCTGATACTACTTCCTATAATTTTGGTAAAGCGGATCTTGTATCTCACCGAATTTCATTAGTTGATTGGTCTTTTCTTATTGATTGTTCTGACGTCAATGTTGCTTGTGATTTTTTCTATAAATAAAATATTATGATCTGATGGATACTTTTGTTCCCAAATACAAGAAAAAAAAGTATAATTTTCCTGTGCGGTTCACGCCTCAAATCATTCGTGATATTACTAAAAAAATTATATAAGAAAAAGATACAATAAATATGGCAATCCTTGTGATTTAGACGCTTTTAAACAGCGCTTTTAAACAGATCAATTAAATTAGAGATATCGGAGGCATATAGGCAATTTGTTCGTGATGCTGAAAATAATGTTAAGTTAAATCCTAAAAAATTCTTTCAGTTCGTTAAACACAAACGAGGTGGCACTAACTTACCTACTAGCAGTCCGAAGAAGAATTTCTATTGTTAGGAGGGGACTTTAATGCCAGAATAGGGAACAAAAGCAGGAAAAAAGAGGGGGAAAACACACGAAAATCGAAAGATAAAGTAGAAAATAAAGACGGAAAATTGCTATGGGAATTAATTGAAGAAAGAGGTTGGGAAATCTTAAATGTACTACGTAATAGTAAACGGATTAGCAGAAGAAGAGGTAGAAACATTCAAGATAGGAGAAAAAGTGGACTCCGATCACATGCCACTAAAAGTAAAAGTGAGGGGCATAAGTAGAGGGAGCGGATGCTTAAGGAATGAAGTAGGAAAAGAGAAGAAGATATGGGTATGGAATGAAAAAGGAATTGAGCATTATAAAAAAAAATGTTGGAAGTGGAATTTAAAGAAAAACTGAAAAGAAAATGGAAGAATTAAAAAGAGAAATTGAAAAAGCAGCCATAAGAAAAGAAATTGTAACGACAAATTCAGAAAAGAGAAACAGATGGTGGGATAGCAGATGCAGAGATTTAAAAACAGAAGCAAGGAAATGTTTACGAAGGTGGAAAAAGGGGAAAGGTATAAAAGAAGAGTACTGGCAAGCAAAAAATAATTATATAAAACGATGCAAAGAAAATAAAGAAGAGATACAGCAAGAAGAAGAAGAAAAAATTAAAGCCATAAGAACTGAGCAAGAGGTGTGGCAGTATATAAATAAAGAACGGAAGAACAAAATCACGATTAGTGAAGACATACCTATAATACAGTGGAAGAAGCATTTTATGAAACTGTTGAATGGAAAGGAAGAGAGAATTGTAGTGCAAGATAGTAAAACCGGGATTGGTGGTAGAGAAAGGGAAGCGGAGATTCGAGTAGAGGAAGTAGGAAAACAAGTAGGAAGACTGAAAAGGGGAAAAGCACCGGGGAGGGATGGGTTGGTAAACGAAGTGTGGATATTTGGGACGGATGGGATGATTGAAAGATTGAGCGAGTTAATCAATGATGTGTGGACGGGTAAAGGTTTTCCCAGGGAATGGAGAGTAGGACAAATATGCCCAATTCATAAAAAGGATAGTAAAGAAAAAGTAGAGAATTATCGCGAAATAACTCTTCTAAATACGGCACATAATCTGTACGCAATGGTGTTAAATGAAAGGTTGGTGACAGAGATGAACGAAAAGAGTATATTAGCGGAAAGTCAAGCGGGATTTAGAAGAGGTAGAGGGGCTATGGACAATGTATATATCCTGCATCATCTAATAGAAACAGAGTTGCTAAAGGAAGGAGGTCGGGTATATGCACTGTTTGTAGACCTAAAAGCCGCGTTTGATACGGTGGACAGAGAGTGTTTGTGGGAATGCATGGAAAGAAGAGGACTGAGTGAAAAGTTAATTGTAGCAGCAAGAGAGATTTATAGAGAGACAGTGACTAGTGTGAGAGTGCGAGGAATAGAAAGCGAAATGTTTTGGACGACGAAAGAATTGAGACAGGGATGCCCATTAAGTTCCAGTCTGTTTGCTTGTTACATAAGCGATATCGAGGAAATGTTTAGAGGAGCACAAGCGGGAGGAATTCTGGTGGGGAGAGAAAAGGTATGGTGTTTGGCATTTGCAGAAGATTTGGTAATATTGGCGAAGGATGAATGTGGAATGAATGAGATGAAAAAAATCTGCAAAGATACTTAAAAAGAAAGATACTGGAGGTAAATGTAGAAAAAACAAAAATGATGGTGTTTAGAAAAAAAGGGAGAAAAGGGGAGGAAAAAGTGTGGCATTGGGAAGATCGAATCATAGACACAGTAAAGGAGTTTAAATATTTAGGATTTAAGTTTACAACAACTAACACGGTAAAAGCACACATAAGAGAAAGAAGGGTCAAAGCAATGCAGATAATGGGAATGGTGTGGAGTATAGGTGAGAGAATATTTGGACATGACGTAAGAAGAAGGATGAAAATGTTTGATAGTTTAGTTAGGAGTGTATTAATGTATGGTGTGGAGATATGGGGATGGAAGAAATATGCAGAGATTGAAGCAGTACATGAAAAATATTTGAGGTGGATGTTAGGGCTACGGAAAGAGACGCCAGGCTATATAGTAGAGAAGAATGTAAACGAGAGAAACTAAGAGTATATACTGGGAAAAGAGCTGTAAAGTATGATGGAAGGTTGAAAGAAAGAGAGGAATGTAGGATATTGTATGCATGCTGGAAGGAAAAAAAAAGGAAGCAGGGAAAGAACATCACAAGGGTAGACAAGGATATTATGAAAGGCTGGGATACGCATGGATGGAAATAGAGTGAAAGAGAGAAATGGGGGTGTGTATGAGAGAAGAGTTGTGTATGCGTGATAGAGACATAGATAAACAAGAGAGAAGAGCGAGTGTAAGTAATTCTAGGTACAATGCAGACTATAGAAAGATAATAACAGAAACAATACCAAAGTACCTAGACAGAGAAAGCGCGAAAGAAAAAAAAATAATTGCGAGATTTAGGTGTGGAAATGAAGAAAGAAATAATAAGTTTTGGGTAAGCGAAGATGAGAGAATGTGTAGGATGTGTGGAGAAGGGCGAGAGACGATAGAGCACATGCTGCATGACTGTGAGGAGAGCAAAGAAAGAGAGGAGAGTGTGACAGAGATATTGAATGAAGACGGAAGAGGGGTGGAGAGGACAAGAGTAAGGATTTGGCAAGGGGGATGGGCTAAAGGAAAGAAAAATTAGTTATTTAGTTTATAAAATGTATTTATTTGGTTTTTGTTAACTAGGGAACAAATTGTAGTGTCAAGAATCTTTTTAAGCCCGTAGGGTAAAAAATAAACACTTACTAATTATTATTATTATTATTATTACGAGTAATCCCTCAACAGGCTGAGAGCCCAATTACTGAGGAATAAAAACTAGAAAATAAAGGCAAAAACAACTAAGTTAATATAGAATTAGACACTGAAAAACTGCTTAATTTTTGCTGGCGAAGTACTAAATATATCAATTTCCGATTCCACCTCTCTATAGTTTTGAAGCATTTGATATACTGGAGGCGATTTCAATATGTTTGTTCTTGGGACAGGCATATGCAACAAAGAATATGATCTTAAACCTGGTTTTAGCACACGTAGCTTTAGGATCTTAAGAAGATCTTCACATTTGATACGATAATTTAAAATATTATGTAACATTAAGATAGAAGCTGCTTTTCGCCTGCAGACCAAACTCTGATAGCCAAATCTACGTAACAGTATATCATTTGGAATTCCTCTTGTAGGGTAAACACCATCACAGATATAAGACAGGAATTTTAAGAATCGACGCTGCATTTTTTCCAACAGAGAAATGTAGGTTTCATAAAAAGGGCTAAATGTTAAAAGAGCTCACGTTTTATTTGTATATAAGATATTGTAACGAAGCGAATTTTCGCGGGCCGGAAACCGTGACGCGTACCGCGAGAGCCGGGGGTAAATCCGCGCTCGCCGCGCCGCCGCGGCGGAAGAAGAGGATTCTTCCCTGCAACTCCAGAGAGTGCGGAAGTGTGTGGCTGCTGTCCTGGTGAAGAGTGTTTTTGAGAAGTAAGAAGTCCGCAGTTGACCCTCCCGGGTCGCCGTACCGTCTTCGCGCGACTTCCAGGTTCAAGGTCGCCGCCCCCAGAGCCAAGAGGAGCCCGGCCTGAAGGAAGTCGCCGCCCAGGAGGAACGACCGTGCCGGACAGTTAATTCTTTTTGTTGTAAAACCGTTGTTTAGTTATTTAAGTTATTTAGCCGTAAGATTTATTATCTTAGGCCGTGTAGCTGGTGGCAGGGAATAAACCCTATTTTATTGTAAAATATCTCTTGCCGTTTTATTTTATTTATTCTCGAGTTTTCGCGGCGGCTCATCACCTGAATTCCGTGTCTCCGGCTTTAGAGCACCCCGGCGCTCCCTCCCCCCGGAGAGGGAGCTGGCGCCCGAGCGACCGCCGCTCCTGACCGAAGGCGCCACCCCCGGCGGCGTGAAGGTAGCCGCATAAGCTTGGTCGACCAGACGTGTTTCTGATATCAGCGATACTAGTCGACCCAAAGCTTGGCACCCAAGTACGCCGCCACCCCATACGTTATCGGCGAGATTCCGGACCGTCACCGGACCGTCCGTCCCTCCCTCCCATCCGGAATTTCGTCGCAATATTAAATGGCTCTACTGATTGTCCATTTATACTTTCTAAATTGTGCTTTAATACCAACTCTTGTGCATCTCGTCATTATAACATATATATTTTATTTGCCAACTCCTAGAACTAATGTATGCAAATTTTCACCTCTTTTTAATATGTGCAGATATTCCAATAACGCCCAACGTTTAGTTGATTTCTTTTGTGCATCGCTTCATGCGGTGAAGTGTCTGGATTATAGTAGAATCTAAGGTAATAAACCATAACTTGTTTTTTAATTGTGTTTTTAAATATTCTATAATTGGGGCTTGCCCTGTGGAATATTTTCTACTAATAATAATAATAATAATTATCAGCATTAAGCTCCCCTACCCAAAAGATTTTCTATAGGGTTTAGCACTGGCGATCTGAGTGGACACAACATAACTTTCACTTTCTACTGTTTACCAATTTGCGTGAATTTTTGCTGTCTGGCGGTTTTTAAAAACTGCGAGCAAATGGTCAATTAAAACATCAATGTATTTTCTTCAGTATACTTTTATAGATGGAAATGCAAAAGTAAGCACGCTATCTCTAGAAAATGCTCCAATTACTACTGAACCAAAATTCATTTTAGAGAAGTAACCAAGTTTTTTTCTTAATTGTCTCGAATAGGGGTTAAACCCAATCAGACCATCAACATTAAATTTCTTTACATCACAGAGTATTATCTAATATGTATATCAATATTTTTTTCAACGTAAATCCGATTTTCGCTCAACTGATCATTTTGTTTACAGAGCTTATCTACACAGGATCATGTTTAGCAAAGTTGGACAAATTATTTATTACCAATTATTTGTTTATTACCACAATGGGTGTTGTATTTTTCCATACTCCGCATTATGAGCAAGCAATAATTATTACACTTTTAATGCATTGCATAACTGCAAATACAGCATTGTTTAAAAAACTGGTAATTTTCCTACTTATAGTTTTAATAGCGAAAAAATATTTCACGAAAATTTTAATTTCCTATTGAAATATTACAAAAATGTTTTTAATGCAAGACTTTTAGCATTGTATTGATAATAAGTAGTCAATAACAATATTAAACCAGTATAATGAACAATCAAATTTAAGTGCTAATTTTAATATCAAAATAGACGAGGATTCAATACAAAAACCAGTTTGTTTCTGTGTATGACTACCATATTACGGTTTTCACAGAAGCTTGTCTTCACGACAGGGTGGATTATTTTCCAGGTAACTTTATACTATTTAGAAAATTGAGAAATTTTCAATCACCTTCAATCATCAATGTTTTGTATAGGAAAAATATTTAATAGAAATAATAATATCTTAATTTAAATATGTACAATTTAAAGACTTCACAGAATTTCCAAAAAATCAGTTTTACCCTATCTGAAATAATAAGAAAAATACGCAATTCACGGAAAAACAGGAATTTGCTGAAAAAGAAATAATACCTCGTCTCCGTTTCCGAATTGAGTATTCTATTCAAAAAAACCCTGAAAGACTCTATAACACTTATATGTATGTTGCATACACACATACTCATACGTGACCTATAATTTCTTTACGGATTACATACATACCTGCATAAAATTATTATCTTTCCTTACTCATCATGTAATCTATTCCAACAAGAAAACAATCATTCAAAACTAATGTTACCACTTCCAAGCGAACCGTATAGTGTGAACGTAAATTGCCAAGTTCTAATAATAGGATTTTATTTAGAAATCGGACAACTAGTAAAGCACTACCAAGGCCGTGCCACATTATTCGGTAATTTAGTTTAAACACCCAGTCGTTACTCTGCCTCTTTCACAAAAACATCAAAAATGGTGCTGTCGCTAGATCGGTGGGTCGGAAAAGTAGCCGTAGTGACAGGTGCAAGTTCTGGAATAGGCGCAGCTATTGTTGAGTTCCTCGTCGACAACGGAATAATAGTCAAGTCCCCAACCACCAAATTGCAACGAATTAATTACTCTTCTTCAGGTCGCTGGGTTAGCTCGTCGGTCCGAACTCGTCGAGGAAAAGGCTAAACAGCTTTCTGGTAAACCAGGAAAACTGCATGCGATTAAAGCTGACATCACCAAAGAAGAAGACATCTTGAATGCGTTTAAATGGATTGAGGAAAATTTGGGCCATGTGCATATCCTTATCAACAATGCTGGTGTGGCTAAAGAAAATTTTTTGAGGAATGGAGAGACAGCGGATTGGAAGCAAACTTTCGATGTGAATGTTATGGGATTGTGCATTGCGACTCGGGAAGCTATTAAGATAATGTCTGCTAATAACATCAATGGGCACATTATTCATATCAATAGTGTGGTTGGTCATAAAGTGGTGCCTTTTCCAGGGATTAACGTTTATATTGCGAGTAAATATGCAGTGACCGCTTTGACTGAGACTCTGCGGCAAGAGTTGAATGCCATTGATTCTAAAATTAAAACCACTGTAAGTTTTGCTTTGTTTTTTTTTTTGTTTACTTAAATTGTTTTGTAGAGTATCAGCCCTGGATTAGTTACTAGCGAGATGACAATTCTTAATACCGAGTTTAGTGAGGATCGTAAGAATGTATTAAAATCTATGCCAATACTAAAGGCTGAAGATATTGCGGAAGCTGTGGGATACGTCTTATCGACTGCTGAAAATGTTCAGGTATTGTGTTGTCAATTATCCTACTGTTGTCTGAAATTTTTGTTTTGCAGATTAATGAGTTGACTATCACCCCTGTTGGAGAAAAAATTTAATTTCACCAGCTCCCTATATTATATATACATACATCGTCACATTTATAAAACATTACTTTTATTTCTAATAAAAATTTGCTATAATGCTTAACGCAATGTGTGTTTAACTATACAGGGTTGCTAGGATAATTAAATATTGATGATTATCGGTTACGGTGACAAAAGATGAAGTTTTGCTGTAGTAGTTACACTTGTACAGTGGTAATATTTCTACCGTAAGTCAGTGCCGGATTGTGCCGCCTGGACACCGGGAAATTTCCCGGCGGGCCCCGAAACAGTCTAAATCTTTTTTTATACAATTATTTACATTTTCCGCATATGCAGGTTCCACTTATACAATTACAAATACAATAATACTCCTAAAAAGATAACAGACCCATAAGAAACGATATATGTAAATATGTATTAAATAAGAGCATTTTTTTATTTTCAGAGCGTAAACTCAGTACGAAACAATAGGTCACCCGTTTCTGTCTGTCTGTCTACCGTCTGTTCCGATTCTATTAGACAGATCATCTCCGAAACTACTGAACCAGTTGTCAAATTATAAACGTGTTTTACGAATATCGTGTAGATGATCAAAATTTGGCTAATAATCCCTAGCAACAATTTGTTGGCGTCATGTCCAAATTTACAGTAGTAAGTATTATTTAAATTAAAAAAAATAAGATACTCCTGCACGTGTGATTTATAAGCCTTTGTTGAATTTTTATTTTAGACATCCAGATTTTTAGAGAAAAAAATCAGTACTGCAACAATTTAACTTTGAAACTGTAAAACCGAATGCTCTGAAAGTTTGCAAACGTTTTAAGGTTATCAAAAGCATGGTAAATCGTTAATTAATTTTTTTTCGTTTATGCCCCTCTAGAACAGTAATGACAATTTTACAATTTTGCCGATTTCATTTATACATATTTATCCAATATAATTTTTGGTGATTCCAAAAGCATTGTTTATTATTTCAAATTCAATTCTCATCTGAACGACTCGGGTTTGAGGATTGGATTATTGGACGTTGTAGATGAAATTTCTATACAGAAATCAGTAGAAAGTAAAATGATACGTTTCACCCCAGTTTTTTTTTTTCATCTATTTAAGGTTTTCTTACCTGTTCTTTCATCTATTTATGGTACTTTATCATGTTTTAAAACAAACAGTCCAGTTTTGACGTTGAAGTTTTTTATTGCTTTTTTAATAAAATGAAAAAGTCAATTTTTTTCGTGAAGTTTTTTCAATGCATTTGTTTAACATTTCACCCCATTTTTAAGGTTATTTTTCACAAAGTTGTGGATTTCTAAAGATTTTGATCATGATTGCAACGGATTCATATAGAAACCGCGGACTTTGAGATTTTTACAAAAAAAAAAAAATAAAAAAAAAACAGTTTAATGTCAAAATTGGACTGTTTAAAAAAAATAATAATAAAGTACTAATTTGTCCCTTTTTTTGGTATTATATATTTTGCGACGAAATTCCGATGGGGGCGGCTTGCCTCGGTGCCAAGCCTTGGGCCGACTAGTGCCGCTGAAATTGAAACACGTCTGGCCGACCTAGGCTTATGCGGACACCTTCACGCCGCCAGGGGTGGCGCCTTCGCTCAGGAGCGGCGGTCGCTAGGGGGCCAACTCTCTCTCCGGGGGAGGGAGCACCGGAGTTGCGCCTCAAGTCGTAGACACGGATCTTTTGGTGGTGAGCGCCCGCGAAAACAAGAAAATAAAATAAAACGGAAAGAAATATTTTACAATAAATAGGGTTTATTCCCTACCACCAAATCTAAAAGAATAAATCTTACGGCTAAGTCTTAAATAATTAAACTACAAGCCAGCCTATCAAAATAAACAAAACGATTAAAACGTCCGGCACGGTCGTTCCTCCTGGATGGCGACTTCCTTCAGGACAGGCTCCTCCTGAACCTGGGGGCAGCGACCCTGAAACAGGAAATCGTGTGGGAAGCATACGGCGATCCGGGAGGGAACACGACGCGTGCTCAAGTTTTGACGGTGACGACAACAACGGTGACGGTGCTAGGATTTTTTTCGCTTGGGGACGGCGATTTAACAACGGTACGCACACACACAGAAAAACCAATAACGGTACTTACGGTGGTCGATTCTTTCAGGGCTCTGCACTTTTCTAAAAACTACCCACTTCAAAAAAAAGCGGCTATGGCACTTCGGCATCTCTACTCCCTTCCAAGCCTTTCAGAAGAATAGCCTTTTCGGCCGCGTTGTTACAATTTAATTTTAGAGGATTGCATACTCCTGCATGTGTGGTTCATGAATCCGTGTCGAGTTTTCACCCTAAACATCCAGATGTCTGCGGACAAAATCAAAAGTGTGTAACATTTTACAATTTAAGTTTGAAATTGTAAAACTGTTAAAGAAAAATGTCTTGTAATGTCATTCACACATAAATTAATGCCATTCATTTATGTTTATGAACTTAACGGCATTCAGCTTGTGAGACCCAATGTCATGCGTGATCTTGGAGTTATCTATGATCCAAAACTCAGTTTTAAATATCATATCGATTCCATCAGCTCTGCTTTTAAATCTTTAGGGTTCATACTACGAAACGGCCGCCATTTTAATGATGTCGACACTTTAAAATTAGTGTATACTACATATGTCTGATCACATCTTGAGTATGCATCCCTGGTGTGGTCACCTTTGTATAACATTTACATATCAGAATTAGAGAGGGTCCAGCGCAGGTTTCTTAAAATAGCTTCGTATTTATCTGAAAAGGTTTACCCCCATGAAGCTATCCGCAAGAATTGTTACTGAGCAAATTTAGTTTAAATTCTCTAATTACTAGAAATTGAGCACTCCATCCTATTTCTTTTTAATCTCATACATGGGCGATAAGAATGCGTTTATATTCTACATCACTGTTAAATTTCAAGATTCCTGTGTACAACATCCGAAGCAACGATACTTTTTACATCAAGACTACTAGGATAAATATTATGTTCAACTCACTTCTCATCTTCATGCTCACCAACTGGACCAGTATCCAAGATAATATCGACATTTTTAATTCTACCTCAAAAGATATAAAAAGACAATTTCGGCCTTAACATAGGGATGTATTATGTTATACTTAGTCAATTTTTGTTTTGTAATATTGTACTTTTGTGTATGTATGATTACCTTGTCCTGTTATGGGGACCTAAGCCCGGTGGGCACTGTTTTGAAGTAAAATAAAAAAATAAAAAAAAAAATATTGTAGGCATGGTAAATTGTTAATCAAAATTTTTTCGTTTATGTTCTCCTAAAAAATGATGACATACTTTTATAAATAACATTCTTGCATGTGTGCTTTATGTATCCGTGTTGAGTTTTTACCCTTAGCATCCAGATTTTTGGAAAAAAATCAACATTGTGTAACAATATTTGAGTCAGACAAAAAAACATATCTACGAATACAATTTATTTTGAACTTGGAGCTCTCAAGTTACCTGAAGCCTTATCAAAATTAGCAATGCATGATTTATGTACGAAAATGGTTTATTAATAAGGGCTATTATTGCATGATTTTGGGCAACCAGATATATACCTCTTTACCTGAAACGTCATAGTTCAAAAGGTCAAAAATTTCCTGAATCAAGATTCAAAATGGAGAATTGTTTAGAAATGGATTATTTAACGTCGCCGGAATTAGAAAAGGAAGCCAATATAGCTTCACTAAATTTACTTCCAGAAAAAAGCACAGTGATTTAGCAAGAAAACTGTGATTAGTTTGCTGCACGTTGTGCCAGAAATCAGAGGTATAAGCTATTCGGAATATGTATTATTTGCATACCTCTCCAAAATTTTCCAAAAGGCTTAATAACAAGTTTGTTAGCGAAGTATTCTATGCTTCGGTCCACTTTAAGCATCCATCATGATCTGGACATATCCGAATTTAATAAACTAATAATGTTTATTAATAACAATTTTCACTTCCATGTTTAGTTGCATAACTCATATTTTGAATTTTCAGTAATTTAATAAAATGACGATCACCATAAAAGTATTTTAACTAACTCGACTGTTAATTGGCAGGCAGTGCAATACTATTAATTACAGTCCTGTATCCTCAAATTTTCAGAAAGATTGGATGGGTAATAAAACATGTTACCTCATTCATTAAATTTTTGAGTCACCTTGGATAAGTATTTCAAAAAAAAAAATAATGTATTGATAAACACAAGTAAGGAATCTTAAAACTGTGCATATTTTACATTTATTCGGTAAAATTTTAGAGATCACGTCAAGTTTCTTTGGGAGTGGATAAACGGATCAATTTTTACAATATTTACTATACTTATGATAACCGTAAAAGTTTACAAGATTTCAGAGCATTTGGTTTTACAGTTTCAAAGTAAAATTGCGAAACATCGTTACAAATACGTAATATAATAACTCAAAATCACAGATGTAGGAATTTGTTATTTTATAAAATAAGATCATCTGTTTTTATGGCGGGCGTAAATGGATAAATTTTAATTGACCGTTTACCATGTTTCCGACAAGTTCAAAACGTTGTCAAGGTTTCAGGGCATTCGGTTTTGAAATTTCAAAGTCAAATTATTATATTTTTTTTTTACAAAAATCTGGATGCCTAGGGTAAAAACCCAAAGCTGATTCATGAACTACAAATGGAGGAGTATGTTACTGTATACAATTTAAATAACATTCACTAATGTAAAATTTGGTGGGGATGATCTAACAAATGTTGGTTAGCGTCTTACCATCTACACGATATTCCTAATATACCTTCAAAATTTGACAACAGACGACAGGCGACAGACAGACAGACGGAAAGCAGAAACCTTCGTTTTGATATTCTAAGGGTCATGAAACGTCGAGAAAACATAAAAATAGTGGGCCGCTCAATGGGCTCTATTACAATACTTCCTTATTTTATGCAAGGAAAATAAAAAGAAACGGTGCATTGTAATTTGTCTGGACGGCAATAATAAAATGAAGGAGAGACACAAACGGGAGACCCACATTTTTCGATACTAATAAATGTGCAACGTCGAGGTAATCATCAATATTTTGTATAGCATGAATAAATACGTCTAGTTTATGTTATTTCTAATAATGCAGTGTTAATGTACTACCAAAATTTAATAGACTGTCTTGTGAATCTGTAGATTGCAGTTGGCTGCAGCTGTTTGACCGTCATTGATAAATGAAAATGAACATTTGTTGATAATTTAGGCCAAATTCGTTGTCTGGTCAAGAATCGTCTAACAATACATACTCCTTCGTGACCTTGTGTTGTTTACCCGTCACATACAATGTATAAACAAAAATTAAATATCCATAAAAAGTAAAATCATTGTCTCTTGTTAGTGTTACCCACCACGAAATCTATTCCAACAAGAAAACAGCCATTCAAAACAACTAATGTTACTACTTCCTTCCAAAGGAGCCGTATAAATTGCCAAGTTCTAACAATAGGATTTTATTTAGAAACTAAACAACTAGTAAATCAATACCAAGGCCGTGCTATATTGTTCAATAATTTAGTTTAAACAACCAGTCATTACTCTGCCTCTTTCAGAAAAACATCAAATATGGTGCTTTCGCTAGATCGGTGGGTCGGAAAAATAGCCGTAGTGACAGGTGCAAGTTCTGGAATAGGCGCAGCCATTGCTGAGTTCCTCGTCGACAATGGAATAACAGTCAGTCCTCAAACACCAAATTACAACGAAGTAATTACTCTTCTTCAGGTCGCTGGTCTAGCTCGTCGGTCCGAACTCGTCGAAGAAAACGCCAAACAGCTTTCTGGGAAACCAGGAAAACTGTATGCTATTAAAGCTGACATCAGCAAAGAAGAAGACATTCTGAATGCTTTTAAATGGATTGAGGAAAATTTGGGCCATGTGCATATCCTTATCAACAATGCTGGTGTGGCTAAGGAAAATTTTTTGAGGAATGGTGATACAGCGGATTGGAAGCAAACTTTCGATGTTAATGTTATGGGACTGTGCATTGCGACTCGAGAGGCTATTAAAATAATGTCTGCTAATAACATCAATGGGCATATTATCCATATCAATAGTGTGCTTGGTCATAAAGTGGTGCCTTTTCCAGGAATTAACGTTTATATTGCGAGTAAATATGCAGTGACCGCTTTAACAGAGACTCTGCGGCAAGAATTGAGTGCCATTGATTCTAAAATTAAAACCACTGTAAGTTTTGCTTTGTTTATTTTTTTTGTTTTCTTGTTTATTTATTTATTTATTTATTATTTTTGTAGAGCATCAGCCCTGGATTAGTTACCAGCGAGATAACAGTTCTTAATACCGGGTTTAGTGAAGAACGTAAAAATATATTTAAATCTATGCCAATACTAAAGGCAGAAGATATCGCGGAAGCTGTGGGATATGTCTTATCTACTGCTGAAAATGTTCAGGTGCTCGTACTATGTTGTTAATTATCGTATTGTTGTCCGAAATTTTTGTTTTGCAGATTAATGAGTTAACCATCACCCCGCTTGGAGAATAATTTTAAGTTCACCAGCTGCCTATATTATACATATATACATATATCACCCCAATATGTATTTAACTACATATGTACTTGGATGTATTGCACTTACGTAGTGCCATACTGTGGTGAAATGTTTCTAAAATCGTAAAACTATTGCTTGTAATTTTTTTTTAGTACAATATTTATAGCACTAACAATAATGAAATAATTAATTTGTTCATCACTTCAATTACAGCGCAACAAAAATCAAAATTTGATTTTCCACACATATTCTGTCATGTTAAGTTTTCGAAAATCTTACTAACAATGTACACCCTAGGACATAATTTTTAGTAAAAATGTATATGTAAGCTTTTAGACACTTTTACTTCTTGAACGTGAGCTAGAATATGAAAAAGTAGATTTCATTATAAAATAGGGTCGGGGACAGTGAATTTCGTCCACCCAATTTCTTTGACAGAAAAAAACTCTAAATTAGCCCCTAGATCTTTCTAACCTTTTTCTGTCATTTTGACATAAGGGGGCAACCTAATTTACATAATCATATGTCTTTCCTAGCACTTCTGAGAAGTTGAAACAGTGAAGTGAAACAGGTACGAAGGGCTAAATTTAGTAGCTAAATTTTCTATGAAAACTCTACAAATTTTCGCTTTAAATAATTCCTTCTAACAAACATGCACTCCAAGGAAGCTAATTATTATCTGCGTAATTAAGCCTTCTATCGTATCTGCTTCTCAGGTTAGAAATCAATCTAAGACCAAACAGAAAACAATTTCAAACTATAAAAGAAACTCTAGAAAGTTTATTCTGCACGTGTTGCATACAACATTTTTTCTACAGTTGTGGGTATAATGCACCAGTTTTATTGGAGGCTTAAATAAAATTCTACAACAACTAAAAGGCATCATCATGCTATCTTATGTTAGTTAGCCATATGACAACGAAACAATGTTTCCAAAAAAAAGAGTGCCTCGACCCAGGGACGCACAGATGGAGTTTTAACTCTGCGTTGTCAATTTGTATAAATTAAACACGTGCACGCGGGGAAGTCGTTAATTCTCTCTTAAAAAATAATAAAAACCCAAAATAATTAATGTAAATATCCAAATATTGTCAATTGTTATTTATTATAAAATATACTTTTTTTTATTATTAAGACCCACCACTGACCCGGAAATGACCGCCATTCAGGCAAGATTTCTATCATTACGGGTATTAAGACCATGCATTAATTAGATTAACAAAACAACTTTCGAGATTCTAGAATTACAGCATAAAAATTAGTCTGCTATTATTCTCTAATCTCACCCCATCCCCAAAAGTCTAGCGTAACTACCGATCATTTATCCGCGCATCACTTGGTAAGTGACCTACACTACTCTGACCTACTGGTGCTAATCTAATCTGACTGACATGATCAAACTGTTCGAGAAACTTACGAAAAATATGACATGTTCCTAACAAAACAGCTTTTTGAATTTTGACAATTATTGAATCATCCAAATGCAAAGACTTTAAATTCTCAACTAAGCTATTTGGGACTACACCAACATTAGAGATAACTAAGGGTAGAACTGAAATTTTTTTAAGATTCAACATGGATTTAATTTCTATCGATAATTGTAGATATTTTGAAATCTTGGTGTGGTATGTTTGAATAATGTTGTTTGTGTTAGGAATAGCAATGTCAATGAGAATGGCTTGGTTCCTGTTTTTTGATAAGTATGATGTCTGGTCTGTTAGCTGTAATGTTTAAGTCTGTAAGTATTGTGCGATCCCAGTATAATTTGTATTTGTTATTTTGAAGGAACGGAGATGAAATGCAAGTGTAATAGGGTGTGGTATTTTCGATTAAGTTCATAACTGTTGCTAATTCTTTGTGAATGATTTTGGCTGCGTTGTCGTGTCTAGCTTTGTAGTCAGTTTGTGCCAGGATGCTGCAGGAGGAGATTATGTGCTGGATCGTTTCAGGTTTTGCTTTGCAGAGGCGACAGCAGTCGTTTCTTATATTCGGATCTTTGGTGATGTATTTTCTGTAATTCTTGGTATTGATTACTTGGTCTTGAATAGCAAACACAAATCCTTCTGTTTCGGCATACAAACTTGATTTTTTTAACCAAATCAATGACATCTTCTTGTTGACATGAGTTTGTTCTAAGTCTTTGTAGAATTTTCCATGTTGTTGTTTTTATTATTTTGTCTATTGTGTGGGAGGTGTGGATTTCTTCGGTTTTCGACAGATTTAAGGGTGTGTGGTTCAAATCTACTCTTGTGATGGTGCGAAACATTTCATTTCTTTCTGCTCGTTACAAGAAATACTTCTTCAGATCTGAGATTTATCTCTGATATAAGTTTTCTAGGTTCTGGGAACCCCTTCCTTCATTCTGTCTTGGTAATGAAAATCTTTCAATGGACGATTTTGGATGATGCCTTCTATACTGTGTGAAGATTTTCCTTGTTGCGATGTTTAAATTTTCAAGATCAGTTGTGGACCATTTAATGACTCCAAAAGAATATGTTAGCAGTGGAACGCAGAATGTATTTACTGCCTTCATTAAATTTTTTCCATTTAACTGTGTCTTCAATATTAATTTTAATCTCGCTAGGTATTGATCTTTCAACTGTGTTTTCGTTTTGGTATGATTGATGTGGGAGAATTGACAGAAACCCAGATATTTGTATGTATTATTTCGTTCTTAGGCTTCTATTATTTCATTATTCTGGGTTATATGTGGTACTTGGTGTTGGACGCCTTTTCTGATTGCTTGGGTCTTACATTTCTCAATACCAAAACACATACCAATATCACCGGAAAATTGTTCAGTCAGATTTAATAAGTTTGTTAACTGATTTTGTGTACTTGCATATATTTTTATGTCATCCATATACAGCAAGCGATTTATTCTGTTTTCTCTTTGTTTGTTAATTCTTATATTGAACCCATAATTGCAGCTGTTCAGGATATCGGAGAGGAGATTTATTGCTAAACAGAACCATAACGGGCTAAGAGAATCGCCTTGAAAAATTCTTCTTCGGATCATTATTGGATCTGACTGAATTGTTTGTTCATTTAAGGTTATTTGGAGGGTGGTCTTCTAAAATTCCATGGAACATTTGAGAAAAGTGCAGATTTTAGTATCAATTTAGGATAATTCCAGAATTTTACATAGCCAGGAACGAGGGACAGAATCGTAAGCTTTCTTATAATCAATAAAAAAGTATATATGTTTCGGTTTTTTTTCTAGCTTGTTCATACATGATGGAATCTATCATTAATTGCTCTTTGCAACCAAAGGATCCTTTAATACATTCTTTCTGTTGTTTATTAATGATGTCATAGTTAAAACAGTGTTGATAGATTTTTTGTGTAATGCATGAGGTTAATATTTCATAGATTGTCGTTAAACATGTGATAGGTCTGTATTTTGATGGATTTTTTGTGTCGTTTTGTGTCTTTATCTTTAGGTTTTAGGTATGTTACATCATGACATAAGAATGTTGGAAAGGAGGATGGGTCAAGAAGGAACTGAATTAAGTGATGTAGTAAATGGATATGTACACAATTTAATTTTTTTATCCAAAAATTATGGATTTTGTCTGGTCCTGGCGATTTCCAGTTGTGTGTCTTATTGATGGTATTTATTAATTCGGTAAGTGTTATCTGATGATCATTCATTGGTGTAACTGTAGATAGTTTACGGGATATATGAGGAATCCATTTGGCAGGTTGGTTAAATTCAAATTCTTGAGACCAAAGTTTTGACCAAAATGTTGTTACATCCTGTGAACTTGGAAGTTCACCGGATAATTGAATTTTGCTTGAATTAGTTAAATGTTGATCGAATAGTTTTTCGTTGTTTAAAAATTTAGTGTTATGAATTTTTCTGAGATGTGATTGTTTGTATTTATTTATTATATAGAAAGATCATAATTAATTAATTATTATTAAACTCGACATTCTATTCCGGCGCGCGTCGTATACGTGCTCTATAATACGAAAAGAAAGGAGTTAAAACTCCAATAGTATTGTATAAAAATACATCTCGTACGGGATGGGAATTCATTGCAGTTACGCGCTGTACTTCGTTTATTTGAGAATAGAATAACGTTGCTGCGTTGCACTCTGCTGTTAATTCCCGTTCTCATTTACTTAGCCGTTTTACTAATTACGTTTTCGATAATTGTATTTATGGAAAAAGTGACGATTACATTCGGTGATTAACACTCGCTACTGAGTCCCGGCGATCCAGCGCGTCATGATTACATTTGTGGCGGCAGAATAGTAGCTGGGTAAGCGAAGTAAAATCAAAGCTTTAGTGGCCTAGTGGTGAAGGCGCTTGCCTGACAAACGATGTGTTTGTCTTCGCTTACCAACATATTCACACCAGTTTATCTCTCTCAAAGAGATTGTGAGTCAAAAAATTGAAGATTTATGTTTTCAATTTATCGCGCTTTAGAGCCCTCGACGCTGCGCGTCTCGGGTTCTAATTTGCGCTCGGTCTAGAATGATTGTCTTCACAACCTTGGTTAATAATAATAGACTATTTTTTCACTAATAGCGTAGAAATGCAACATTCTGATGCTTGTCTGTGAGTTGTGAATTCGTTTTTCTCCACCAAAGTCAATAATGATAATTAAATTTCACCAAGGTTAATAATGGAAGAGAAGTTATTATTTGCCTAGGTCAATAATAAAGATTGAGGTTACGTAATGCTTGATAAACGAAAATTGGCCATTATTACCAGATTTTTGAAATTATATTCAAATAAAAGTGTTAACTGCCATAACGGCATCTCGGGAGCGGTACATAGTTCATTGTCTGATATATTTCCTAAAAAAATTAATATGAATTAACTGATAACTTCAAATTACAAAGCAACTTTTCAAACGTCAAAAACTAATGACGGCAAACATCAAAACCTAGTTAGGTGATGTCAGTGATGTTATGCTAATTTTACTAAATTGAAAATTTTTCAAATTTGTACTTTGTAGTGAGCTACTAGGTAAAAAATAGTATATACTGTTAAAGACGCAGTCGTCACTCTGCCTCTTTAAGAAAAACATCTGAAATGGTGCTTTCGCTAGAACGGTGGGTCGGAAAAGTAGCCGTAGTGACAGGTGCAAGTTCTGGAATAGGCGCAGCTATTGCTGAGTTCCTCGTCGACAATGGAATAACAGTCAGTCCTCAAACACCAAATTACAACGAATTAATTACTCTTCTTCAGGTCGCTGGTGTAGCTCGTCGGTCCGAACTCGTCGAAGAAAACGCCAAACAGCTTTCTGGGAAACCAGGAAAATTGTACGCTATTAAAGCTGACATCACCAAAGAAGAAGACATTTTGAATGCGTTTAAATGGACTGAGGAAAATTTGGGCCACGTGCATATCCTTATCAATAATGCTGGTGTATCTAAGGAAAATTTTTTGAGGAATGGTGATACAGCGGATTGGAAGCAAACTTTCGATGTCAATGTTATGGGACTGTGCATTGCGACTCGAGAGGCTATTAAGATAATGTCTGCTAATAACATCAATGGGCATATTGTCCATATCAATAGTGTGCTTGGTCATAAAGTGGTGCCTTTTCCAGGGATTAACGTTTATATTGCGAGTAAATATGCAGTGACCGCTTTAACAGAGACTCTGCGACAAGAGTTGACTGCCATTGATTCTAAAATTAAAACCACTGTAAGTTTTGCTTTGTTTACTTTTTTTTGTTTTCTTGTTTATTTATTATTATTTTTTTTTTTTTGTAGAGCATCAGCCCTGGGTTAGTTACCAGCGGGATAACAGTTCTTAATACCGGGTTTAGTGACGAACGTAAAAATGTATTTAAATCTATGCCAATACTAAAGGCAGAAGATATTGCGGAAGCTGTGGGATATGTCTTATCTACTGCTGAAAATGTTCAGGTGCTCGTACTGTGTTGTTAATTATCGTATTGTTGTCCGAAATTTTTGTTTTGCAGATTAATGAGTTAACCATCACCCCGGTTGGAGAATAATTTTAAGTTCACCAGCTGCCTATATTATACATATATACATATATCATCGCAATATGTATTTAACTGCATATGTACTTGGATGTATTTTTTCGTACTTCAAGTGCACTTACGCAGTGGTAATTTTCCTACTGTGGTGAAATGTTTCTAAAATCGTCAAATTCTTTTCTATGAATTTTTGTTTAGTACAACATTTACAACACTAACAAAATGAAATAATAATTAATTTTTTGATCACTTCAATTACAGCGCAAATGCTGATAAAAGCCGGGAACAGAGACCGAATCATGGCTGATTTAGACGTTTTGTTTACACCGCGGCCATCGGAATCTCACGTCCTAGCCGCCTGATTCACCTGGAGTGTGGTCCCGTTCCGACAGTGCTCGGCAGGATTGACTCACTATCGCCGGTTTTAATTTTTATTCTGCGCCAACACGTATGATAAATACTTATTCGTGGATAATCTTCTCGGTAAAACAGACATTCGGAAACAACTACACATCACCTATATTAATGATATCGGGCACATAACGCAAGGGTCGACAAAAATCGCCATATATTATATATAATGTGCATAAAATTTTGTGGAGTGTTTGAATTTGCTTTACGTGGACATGACGAAAGTAGGGAATCACAAAATCTAGGTATATTCTATTGAAAGAAGCAACGGTTTTTAAAGGAACGCCTTAAACTGCCAAAATTAACTTTTAGATACCATGAACGTAAAATTTTAGCAGCATCTCAGGAGGGACACAGCTCCTTGTCTGATAATTTCCTATAAAAATTAATATCAATTAGGTGACAATTTCAAATTACAAACCTCATTACAACCCAACTTTTCAAACGTCTAAAAATAATGACGGAATACATCAAAACCTAGTTAGGTGATGTCAGTGATGTTATGTTAGTTTTAATAAATTGAAAATTTTTCAAATTTGTGTTTTATAGTGCGCTACTAGGTAAAAAAATACTATATACTCTTAAAGACGTAGTCGTCACTCTGCCTCTCTAAGAAAAACATCTGAAATGGTGCTTTCGCTAGAGCGGTGGGTCGGAAAAGTAGCTGTAGTGACAGGTGCAAGTTCTGGAATAGGCGCAGCCATTGCTGAGTTCCTCGTCGACAATGGAATAACAGTCAGTCCTCAAACACCAAATTACACCGAATTAATTACTCTTCTTCAGGTCGCTGGTCTAGCTCGTAGGTCCGAACTCATCGAGGAAAAAGCTAAACAGCTTTCTGCTAAACCAGGAAAACTGCATGCTATTAAAACTGACATGACCAAAGAAGAAGACATCTTGAATGCGTTCAAATGGACTGAAGAAAATTTGGGCCACGTTTATATTCTTATCAACAGTGCTGGTGTGGCTAAAGATAATTTTTTGAGGAATGGAGATACAGCGGACTGGAAGCAAACTTTCGATGTGAATGTTATGGGATTGTGCATTGCGACTAGGGAGGCTATTAAGATAATGTCTGCTAATAATATTAATGGGCATATTATCCATATCAATAGTGTGCTTGGTCATAAAGTGGTGCCTTTTCCAGGAATTAACGTTTATATTGCGAGTAAATATGCAGTGACCGCTTTGACTGAGACTCTGCGACAAGAGTTAAGTGTCATTGATTCTAAGATTAAAACCACTGTAAGTTTTGCTGTGTTTATTTTTTTTTTTTGGTATCTTATATACAGGGTGGCGCATGTAAGTTTGGACATAGAGAATAAACATGGAGAATTCGCTTTTATTTTATGATATCTCCCCAGATCATTTTAAAGCTGTTATTGAGTGATGCATTCGTGGAGGTAAAGGGGGGCTATCGGCTAGTATTTTTTTCAAATTGTTGCATGCTCCCATTCACTGCAAAGAGGCTTTAAACTTCATATTCGGCCATGGAAAATCGAAATGTCAAAGTGAAAATAGAATTATTCCTCGATTCTCATTCAGAAATCACTGGACAACTCAAATTGAATTATTTTAACCAATATGTAATATATATATATTTCTTTTATAGAGTATCAGCCCTGGATTAGTTGCCACTGAGATGACAAATTTTGATATCGAGTGTAGTGAGGACAGTGAAAATATATTGAAATCTATGCCACCACTAAAGACAGAAGATATTGCCGAAGCTGTGGGATATGTCTTATCAACTGCTGAAAATGTTCAGGTATATTGTTGTCAATTATCGTACTGCTGTCCTGAATTTTTGTTTTGCAGATTAATGAGTTAACCATCACTCCGGTTGGATACAAATTTTAAGTGCACCAGCTCCCTATATTATATATACATTTTTCACCACATTTATAAAATACTACATTTAATTCTAATAAAAATTTGCCGTAATTTTTAACGCAATACAGGGTGACTGCAAAATACATGCAAAAAAAAGGGAATAGCTCACAATATGATTATGTCACTGGCAAAAATTCACGGTCCTAAGTGGTAGCAGTGTCTAGAAAAAATTAGTTGAAATTAAATGTAAATTGTTATACGCGCCGCTGGTAATGTTTCGTGACCTACATAATTACTGCAATGAATGGGCAGGCGACTCGGATTAAGAACCAAAAAAGTAACTTTATCGGGCACTTTTTTAATCGCAACGTGAAAAATACGAAAAGGGCCAGTCATTATCGAGCGGTCGTTGAAATCGGTGTATGGTCCAGTTTTCCAATGCAGAGCGTGTCGATATGGTAATTTGTGTGCGCGAACATTTGCATCAGTGGTACAGCATCTCCGAGATCATGGTACCTTCAACCTCAAACTCACGATCGTGATCGTGATGGGACAGAAAGAAGAAATTGGATTTTGGCAGCTTGTAGTGCATCCTACATTAAAATAACACGGTCCCATCCATACCATGTTGACAAAGTGCACGGTGATTGTCCACGTTGTGTAACTCACTTTTTGTCCGATGGAACTCCACATTGTCGTCAACAAGTACAATTTCAAGAGACGGTTTTCGATAAATGTGTATCGGTTGGATGAAACAATTCGTTTGTGGAAATCAACAGTGTCCAGAAATTATCGAAGAGCTTCAACAAGTAAAAGTGGCAGCGGCTACTGCGGTGTTTTTTTACCTATCAACAAACCTCTTGCGACGCTCTGACGCCTGTATTGCTAGTCAAGGACAATATTTTCAACATTTCTTGTAAAAAGGTAGTAGTAGCATTCTAAGTTGCTCTTATTTCTGTTCCAATAAACAATGTAAAATCGTTGTGACAAGGACCAAACATCCGTCAGAATCAAAATTACCAAAAAATTTTCACTCTGACCTTTAACGATGAATGAGTAAATGAATGAACGAATGATAAGCAGCAAAAAGTCGGTTTTAGTTTTAATTGAAACTAAAAGTGTTTAGGTCGTTTTTATTCGAACGTTTTTCCAACTCTGTTTACAAGGTGGCTCAGTGCCTTCGTATCGAGGGTGGTTCATGGGGGTTCTGCCCCATTCGATTTTTATTTTTTTTTCTATATTTCGGCTCTACTAGCGTGGGGGATGCCGTGGTTAAAATATTTGCATATATTTCGCAGTCACCCTGTATGTGTTTAACTACATATGTGGATGTATTTTTCCGTACAGCAATTGCACTTTACACAGTGGTAATTTTCCTACTGTGGTGAAATGTTCCTAAAACCCGTAAAGTATCCTATGAATTTTTGTTTAGTGTAAAATTTACAACACCAATAATAATGAAATAAGTAATTAATATAAGACGCCACATATTCTGTCATGTTAAGTTTTCAAAAATCTTAGTACCAGATTCTTGTCATTGGAACGTACTAATAATCCAATTTTTTTGAAGTATAAATATCAACTATTGAAGTTAAGCATGTAGTGAGACATTGAGAAACATGTTTTTCCGATGATTATTATGCATTTCAAATGTAATTTATATTGTCTGTACTTGTGCGGACTGCAAAACACTAAATTGTGTGTCATATTTCTATATCAACGACTAAGTATATGTTATGTCAATTAAATTTAGGAATGCAGATCTATGCTACTTTTTTAAATTTTAATATCTCTATTTTTTAAAACATTGCCCACAAGTAAGTAGTTTAATTTTTAATGGTTTTGTTCTCAATTTTCTTAGAAACTGTTGAATTGTTTATTTGCCGTTTAATCATATCAATGAAAGGGGTCGCGACAGAGTTAAGTATTTAGATTAAAACACTGCAGTGGGTTATTGCAGAATTAATAATAATCAGTCGTTTTGTACTCATCCGTCTGAAACCAAATATTGTTAAGTATTTTAGAACGTATGTATATGACTAACATCATTTCATTCATTCCATGTGTATGTACATGTTGATATAATTACGTATCTTTCATTTACTCACCAGGTAATCTATTTCAACAAAAAAAATAATCGCTTCGTGTATAGAAAGTAAAAACCCAGTCTAAGTGTGTGTCTTCATAAAAAAATCAAAAATGGTGCTTTCATTAGATCGGTGGGTTGGGAAAGTCGCTGTAGTGACAGGTGCAAGTTCTGGAATAGGAGCAGCCATTGCTGAGTTTCTCGTAGACAAAGGATTAATAGTTAGTTTTCAACCATTTATTATATCAAACTGACCATACTACTTCAGGTCGCTGGCTTAGCTCGTCGCTCTGAACGCGTGGAAGAAAAGGCTAAACAGCTTTCTGGTAAACCAGGAAAACTGCATGCTGTTAAAACTGACATCAGTAAAGAAGAAGACATTTTGAGCGCGTTCAAATGGATTGAAGAAAATTTGGGCCATATTTACATCCTTATCAACAGTGCTGGTGTGGCTAAAGATAATTTTTTGAGGAATGGGGATTCAGAGGCCTGGAGACAAACTTTCGATGTCAATGTTCTGGGATTGTGCATTGCGACTCGGGAGGCTGTTAAGATAATGTCTGCCAATGATATCAATGGCCATATTATTCATATCAACAGTGTAGCAGGTCACAAATATGTGGATATGCCTGGGATGAATGTTTATACGGCGAGTAAATATGCAGTGACCGCTTTGACTGAAAGCCTGAGACATGAGATGAATGACATTGATTCTAAAATTAAGATTACTGTAAGTCTTGTTTACTTGGTTACTTCATTCCTTATATTTCCTTACTTTTTTTTTAGAGTATCAGTCCAGGATTAGTCGCAAGCGAGATGTCAACTCTTAATACCGAGTTTTGTGAGGAACGTCTAAATTTGGTAAAAAGTTTGCCAATACTCCAGGCAGAAGATATTGCGGAAGCTGTGGGCTTCGTCCTATCCACTTCTGAAAATGTTCAGGTATTGCGTTGTAAATTATTATCGTTCTGTTTGTCTGAAATTTTAGTTGCAGATTAACGAATTAACTATCACCCCAGTTGGAGAGAAATTTTAAGTTAGTACCTACCTAATATCATAATTATATTTCAGCATACTTATCCAATACTTTTATTTTTAATAACAATTAATCCCTGTCCTAAAAAATATTTTGGTAATTTGTTGAAACCTATAGATGTAGAGAAAAAAACTTTATTATTACATTATATGTACTTGGTCAGTTGGTGTATGTTTTATTCTAACTCATAACCTTCAAAGCCTAAGCTATCCATCGGTCTAATGACCAGTCGTGGGAGTCCGGACCACGTCCCACCTGGTCTCGGACTATTTCAAAGTGCTCCGTATCCCGGGTACCGGCTGGGCTGGCCTGGTAACCAGATTTTCGCTTTCTTCGAGCCGTCAAATTTACTTCGTGGCGGAACAGGATACAAGAGTATTCCCCTGTCCGTGTAACCGCCTGGTTTTTTGGTATCCCTTGTTTCCAAGGCCTGTCCTATTACTAGCTGTTAGAAGTACCGAGTACCAAATTTTGCGTCCCCCTTAGGAGGAACTGAAAGCTTTAATCGGCTTTCATCAGAGCTCCTTTTTTTGGAAGCGGTTGCAACCAACTAGAAGGTGGTAGTCAACGTAGAGCAAGAGAGGCCATACGTTAGGGGTTCACTGATAACATATAATATGCCTCACAGGATATAGCACCCGATGGGATTTTACGTTCTCTACGTACACGGTGGTGAAGCTTACCATGTCCAGTTTCCTGGGCCCGAAGGTGTCTGACCCGACTCCCGAAAAACGAACAAAATAGAATACAAATATGTATAATCTATAAAGAAAAAAAAATCATATCTAACATCCTTACTTGTATTCTGTACCTGAACCGCATACCTTTGTGGTATGGAGCGATCCATCAAATACAACTGCATTTAATAACCATGTTCCCCATTTAGTAATAGCAGGTTGTGGAGGTAATGGTAAATTGGGCAATGCATTTCGATAAAATTGTACTCTTAAAAGTGATTTAACAATTTTTTTTAACGTTATTGACTAAATCGTTTCCTATTGGAAATAAATTTATAATTTCCTCAGCCACTGTATTGATACCATGAGCTAAGCATGTAATGTTGATTAAGCTAGGAAAAAATATTTTTAGGTTGGATGAAGCTTTACACATTGTACGAGTATATGTAGCAGCATCTTAATTAATTAATATGTTTTTTACTTTCTGAAAACGCTAGAAAGACTAAACGAAAAAGAGATTCGGGAGACTGCTTTGAGCAAGCAACCTCTATATCCGAACCAAAATGCCTACATCCAAGGAAGATCCACCGATACCGCTCTACACACAGTTGTAAACCTTATAGAGTGGGCGATGGAGAACAAACTCTTCACCTTAGGAATGTTTTTGGATATTGAAGGAGCGTTTGATAAAACGACCTTCAAAAGCATAGAATTAGCCCTGCGAGAGCACAACGTGGACCCCACCCTAAGCAGGTGGGTGGCCGGTATGCTGAGGAATAGGGAAGTACTGATTAATGTAGGTGGCACTGAGATCGAGGCTGTTGTAGGCAGGGGATGTCCTCAGGGAGGAGTTCTCTCTCCTGTACTCCTGGGATACTGTCGTTGACAGCCTGATACGACGCCTCAATGATCTTGGCTACCACACAATTGGATACGCAGACGATCTAGTCATTCTGCTAACAGGAAAAAACGCAGATACATTATGCGTGATAATGCAAGCTGCAGTAAAAATCGTCGAGGAATGGTGCAGCAGGCATACCCTCTCCGTTAATGGAGAGAAGACGAAACTAATCCTGTTCACTAGGAAAAGGAAAATTGGCACACTACAGATGCCAAAAATATTTAACACAACGCTTCAACTTTCGGACGAAGTCAAATACCTGGGAGTTGTATTGGACTGGCGACTGAATTGGAAGAAGCATGTAGATGATAAAGTGGAAAAAGCACGTTCGGCTCTTTGGCAATGTCGTAGAGTGATGGGAAGGTCGTGGAGTTTAAATCCTAAGATCGCCCTCTGGATCTACACGGCAATAGTCAGACCGATGCTGTGCTATGGAGTTTTAGTTTGGTGGCCCAGAGCCAGACAAAAAACAACAACCCTGCAACTTGAACACGTTCAGAGAATGGCGTCTCTCAGTGTTACAGGAGCAATGAGCACAACTCCCACAGCGGCTCTGGAGACGCTTCTTTGCTTTACATAGAGGAAGCGGCAATGAGGACGTCTCTAAGACTTCACTCTCTGGGAGTATGGAACAAGCAAGGCCGCGCAACGAAGCACACTCGAATCTTAACGGAGGCGTTCAACAGAATACCCTTGTTAAGGATGGGTTGTGACCGAATGGGCACAAAATTAATATATGAGAAGACATATAGAATATCAATGAATGATAATTCAGAAGGAAGAGCCGACATCTATGTCGATGGTGCCAAAACAGATAGTGGTTCAGGAGCCGGCATCTACTCCGAACAACTGAACCCACAAATCAGTGTACCTGTCGGTACCCACACGTCTGTCTTACGAACAGAACTGATGGGAATAATGCTGGGAGCTAGAAACGTTGCTGAACGTGAAATCCGCAACACATCAATACGCATACTTACTGACAGCAAGTCTGCACTACTAGCCCTGGATAGCTGTATGGTTCGATACGGGCTGGTTTGGGAGTGCAGACAAACGCTAAGGTATGTAATGCAGAGGAATAGTGTGGAACTTTGTTGGATCAAAGGATACAGTGGCAACGAAGGAAACGAGAGGGCAGATGAGATGGCGAAGCGAGCCGCGTGCATACCCTTCTGGGGACTCGAACCAGCAATCACCCCTTCGGTCGCCCTCTCGAACGAACTCGTAAACCAATATACCCATAGACGCCATGAGCAGATATGGGCGACGTTGAGCAGCTGTCGGCAAAGTAGAGCTTGTATGGTGACAACAGACCGTAAATTGACGAAATTTTATCTCTCACTTTCAAGAGATAAACTGCGTAAACTGGTAGGATTCCTTACGGGACATTACCAGTTTAACAAACATCTATATACGATAGGGGTAGTAACAGATCCAATCTGTCGTGGATGCAATGAAGAAGAGGAAACAGCTGAGCACATTCTTCGTGAATGTCCAGCCCTAGCCTCCTACAGGGAGTCCATACTAGGGGATATCTGGCCTAGTATGGCAAAAATCAGGGAGTTTCCATCCTCTGCATTACTTAAGTACATTCAGCAGTTGGGTGGCTTGACGAGTAGAGGAGCGGGAAAACGCCCTGATATGGACTTAGGGAAGGTACAATGGGCACAAAGGCGAGGCCTAAGTGCCGGCTGGCTATGATCAGCCCCCATAATTAAGAATCCAGAATCCAGAATCCAGACTTTCTGAGCGTAAGCAAAGGAAGGATTCTAATCGAATCCGTCGGCCCACTCTCTACTTTTACGTTTTCTCGACCTTTCATGACCCCTAGAGTACGAAGAAATGCGTCTCCCGTTTCCGTCTGTCTGTCCGGCTGTCTATCTGTCTGTCTGTCCGTCTGTCTGCCGTCCTGGATTTTTATTAGACAGATAATCGCCGAAGGTACTAGGCCGATTGTTGTCAAATTTTGTATTTATATTAGGAATGTCTGCTAGATGGTAAAACGCTAACCAAAATTTGCCTAATCATCCCCACCAATAATGTGATGACGTCACTTCAAAATTGCACGTAGTAAATGGGTTTTAAATTGTATGATATAACATAGTCCTACACATGTAGTTTACGACTCCGTATTAAGTTTTTAGTTGGAACATCCAGATTTTTTGAAAAAATCAAAATTTTAAAACAACATTTTTCAATTTAATTTTGAATCTGCAAAACCGAAAGCTTTGAAATCTTGCAGATGGTCTTTTAGAGTGATCATAAGCATGGTAACTTTTGTTATCAAAATGTATTTGCTCATCCCCCCTAAAAAATTGATTACGTCACCCCCAAATTTTGCTGAATAAATCCTATCTAACATATCCAAAATATGATGAGTCTGTTCTTGTGATTTATCATTCCATTCATATTTTTCGGATTTGCATATACAGGGTGACTCAAAAAAATTAATGAATGCGTAAATATATTTCATTGATTTAATCAGGAACTACAAAACCAAATGTTTTTAAATCTTGGAGATATTTTAAAATTATCGTACGGTAAATTTTTGATCTAAATGTATTTGCTCATCGCCCCTAAAAAATTGATGACGCCACCCCAAAATTTTACTGAAAAGATGCAAAGCCTATACTTGTGATTTATCGCTGCGTTAATATTTTTTTGATTTGCTTATACGGGGTGTCTGAAAAAAAAATATGACTGAATGAATTTATTTTAATAATGGAACGGTTCACATGGTTATTTTTGAAATGTGTGTTACAATAACTATTTTGTGGAGAGATATGTAAATGCAAGCATTTTCTTGTGATTATACAAAGTGTTTATAAAATTTTTTTGATTTTTTTTACAATTTTCAAATGTCAATATTTTTGTTTTCAAACAGAACAGCTCGTATTTTATTATTGCTTCTTATTCTATTTTTGTATTCTTTCTGATAACCCGGAATTAATTAAGAATGATAACATTTGTTGTTGCATCACAAATACGTCATTTATTACGTTTTGTTATATATTTGTTATTTAAACTCCAGTGTAAGTGAAAACTGTTGTTTTAGAATACGCATGACGAACTCTGCCCAAAAATGCAATTCCACTGGTCAGTTTCCTACAATGAGAATTTTTGTTTAATTTCACATTTTACAAGGAGCAAAAATTTTGTGAGCCAAATTTATGCTGTTCACGCAATTGTCACCTGATATACCCGTCCCAGTGAATTTAAATAAATAATAATTATTGATTAATAACAAGGTTTAGATAATTCCGAAAAACAAATAAAAAACTGATAGTTTTTGTTTTTACCACACGCGGAAAATAACTTAGCTGTTTTATTCCAAAATAATATTTACTTACAAGAAATTTATTGTACCTTTTTGCTGCTGTTCCGTTTGTTTTTAGTTTGATATCAGTAATCACAAGTGTAGCATTGAATAATGTAAAAATAGTATCAAGAATCGTTAGAATTCCACGTTTAACTTTTTGTGAAGGTATGCAATTTTTTTGGAGATTTGCAACTGAATAAAAATTTGTTTGTCAAAAGTACATTTTCATTTATGTATTTATACATATTATATCCTGACATGAACAAAAAATTGATCAACAAGTAAACTATTCTCATTTGCGGTTCGTTAGGTCAATTATAAATATTGACCCCGGGCAGAGTGTTATACGTAGATTTCTTTTGAGTGGGAGTGAAATAAACTTATATTGTACAGAAGTAAATTTAAGATCATCTTTTTTATTGATCTTTTAAATTGTGAATTACGTGAAATATTCCCAAAATACATATATATTTGGGACACGACATAATTTCAAAGAATTTCTTTTCGTCGGTACTTTAGAAATGGTATTTTAAAAAATTGGTCTAAAGAGTTTAGACAGTACTTCCCTCGCTGTCGGAAACTTGACGAATGCATGGCTATTGTGTTTTTTTCTCATTACATTTTTGTAGTGGGAATTTAAAATTGCGATGACGTCATCAACATTTTTGCAAGGACACGGATATCAGTTGGGATAGATGTAGTGTAATACTAAGAATAAAATTATTGTATTCCCAAATTTTCAGGAAAATGAATTGGGTCGTTTTGAATATTGACTTTTTATAATCAATAAAATAACGAAACAATTTACTCACGTATACGGCAACTGAAAATCGTTTATGTATAAACATTCTTAATTTAAGATGACAAGCGTAACAGCATACGTGAGAGCCAAACAGAGAAACTGTAAACAAAACGACCATCGGTTTTATTGCTTCGACTTCCGCTTATTATATAAAACATTGGGTTTTATTTTAATTCTTGACGGTGAAATTCAGAATTGGTTGATTATAAACATGTCTATTTCACATTCGCGGAACCAAGTGAACAAATGCAGGTCTGTAATGTTAAAGTCGATGTAAATAAGCGTGCTACCCTTATGTTTCAACCGAGTTTTTCTTTTAACAAATTTTGTGTCTACCAAATTGGGTTGGTTGGGGTGTAATACTAATAATAAGTGTTGCCTTTAATTTAATCAATAAAATAAATTGACTTCATTAATTTTTTTTGAACCACCTCTTAAGAAAATCTAAAAAATATGAATGGAATGATAAATCACAAGTACAAACTCATCATATTTTTTGCATTTTAGATAGGATTTATTCAGCAAAATTTAAGGGTGACGTCATCAATTTTTTTAGGAGGGATGAACAAATACATTTTGAACAAAAGTTTACCATGCTTATAATAACTTTAAAATATTCCCAAGATTTCAAAGCATTCGGTTTTGTAATTCCTGATTAAATCGATAAAATAAATTCACGCCTTCATTAATTTTTTTGAGTCACCCTGCATATGCAAATCCAAAAATATGAATGGAATGATAAATCACAAGTACAGACTCATCATATTTTGTACATTTTAGATACGATTTATTCGGCAAACTTTTGAGCTGACGTCATCAGTTTTTTGTAGAAGATAACCAAACATATTTTGACTAAAAATCTATTATGCTCTTTATAACCTTACAACATCTGCAAGATTTCAAAGCATTCGGTTTTGTAGTTCCTGATTAAATCAATAAAATAAATTTACGCATTCATTAATTTTTTTGAGTCACCCTGTATATGCAAATCGAAAAAATTTGAATGGAATGATAAATCACAAGAAGAGACTCACCATATTTTGTACATTTTAGATAGGATTTATTCAGCAAAATTTTGTGGTGACATCATAAATTTTTTAGGGGGGACGACCAAATACGTTTTGATCAAAAATTTACCATGCTTATGATAATTTTAAAATATCTTCAAGATTTCGAAGCATTCGGTTTTGTAGTTCCTGAGTAAATCAGTAAAATAAATTTACGCTTTCATTTATTTTCTTGAATAACCCTGTATATGCAAATCCAAAAAATATGAATGGAGTGATAGATCACAAGTACAGACTGATCATATTTTGTACATTTTAGATATGATTTATTCGGCAAATTTTCGAGCTGACGTCATCAAGTTTTTGGAGGGGATAAGCAAATATATTTTGACTAAACATTTATTATGCTCTTTATGACCTTAAAACATCTGCATGATTTCAGAGCATTCGGTTTTGTAGTTCCTGATTAAATCAATAAAATATATTTACGCATTCATTAATTTTTTTGAGTCACCCTGTATATGCAAATCCAAAAAATATGAATGGAGTGATAGATCACAAGTACAGACTCATCATATTTTGTACATTTTAGATATGATTTATTCCACAAACTTTTGAGCTGACGTCATCAAGTTTTTGGAGGGGATAAGCAAATATTTTTTGACTAAAGATTTATGATGCTCTTTATAGCCTTCAAACATCTGCAAGATTTCAGAGCATTCTGTTTTGTAGTTCCTGATTAAATCAATAAAATATATTTACGCATTCATTAATTTTTTTGAGTCACCTTGTATATGCAAATCCAAAAAATATGAATGGAGTGATAGATCACAAGTACAGACTCATCATATTTTGTACATTTTAGATATGATTTATTCCACAAACTTTTGAGCTGACGTCATCAAGTTTTTGGAGGGGATAAGCAAATATTTTTTGACTAAAGATTTATGACGCTCTTTATAGCCTTAAAACATCTGCAACATTTCAAAGCATTCTGGTTAGCAGATTAAAAATTAAATTTCAAAATGTTGTTTTATAATTTTGATTTTTTTTCCAAAAATCTGGACGTTTCGGGTGAAAAGTCGATTCAGAGTTGTAAACTACATGTGTAGGACTATGTTATTTTATACAATTGAAAACCTATTTACTATGTACAATTTTGAAGTGACGTCATCGCATTAGTGGTGGGGATGATTAGACAAATTTTGGTTAGCGTTTTACCATCTACATGATATTCTTAATATAAGTACAAAATTTCACAACAATCGGTCGAGTACTTTCGGAGATTATCTGTCTAATAAAAATCCGGGACAACAGACGGACAGACGGACAGACGGACGGACAGACGGACAGACGGACGGACAGACGGACAGACGGACAGACGGACGGACAGACGGACAGACGGACAGACGGACAGACAGACGGAAATGGGAGACCTATTTCTTCGTCTTCTAGGGGTCATGAAAGATCGAGAAAACGTAAAAGTAGAGAGTCGGCCGACGGACTCGATTACAATACTTCCTTTGCTTACGCTCGGGAAGTAAAATTAATTCCATAATGAGATTTCCTGAATGTAAATACATTAATTAAAAAAAAATCTTGCTGCACTTGTTTCAGCCAAATTATTATTCAGTGTAACTTCGATAATCCGAATTAATTGGGGAAATTGTGTGTTCGAATTAACGATTTATTCGGATCAGCGAATTTACCAAAAATCTGAAAGGGAATTGCATAACAACTTCATACATTGAAGAAATAAACCTTAATTTTAATAAACAAAAATAATATAAAGTTTTCTTAAGCAACAATAGCTAATAATTCCAAAAAAATATTACTCCCTGACCATAAACACCCTATATTTTTGGAATCAACGACATTTTCAAAAATGAAATTTTATGGAAGTTTCGACCCACTTTCGACGATTTTCGAAATTTAACCAGATATATTTTCTGTAGATTTCGAGCCGCAGAAGTCATTTCCGGCCTCATTTCTTCGATAACTCCAATCGTTTTTCCAAAATCGCCAATTGAAATATCGCAATTTATAAAAATTGGTCGAAAGTTGTTTCGACAGAACTTCCCTCGCACCGAAAGTACAACGAAACAGATTCAGTATTTTCGAGTTAAATTTTTATTTTACACAATTTTGTGGTAGGAAAAGATTAAACGTAGCCTCCTTATAGCAAATAAGTAGTATAACAAAAAATACGATTAACGCTTTTTCTTAACAGCCTACGTTCTGCTAGTTCGCATTCTCACTTTACAAAAGAACATATAATTCAGTACGCCCACCCACCCCGCCTCCATTTCAGTCATTCACTTTGTCTACTCCGAATGAAAGGTGGATCTCAATTGAAGAGAGATAAAATCATTTGAATGAGAACAGCGTGTGTGGACGGGGCTAGAATCTGCTAAGATAAGACTGATTGTGGCAAACGACACCAACTACTAAGTACTAAGAAGAATAAACAGATAACTTATTGCTTAGCTACAAGTCAAGATTTGGGAAGTATAATAACATGATAATGATGGTTTTGTTATAACATTTCAGCAGACTCTGGATGTGTTTTTTCCTTCACTCTCATTTCTTGACGCATTTTTTCATTTTTTTTTAAATTGCTACTTAAATTGTGAATGCATTTATAAACTGACTTACTCTCGAAAATTTTCACAACTTTTTTTAAATGTTTTTTTACACTAAATGTTCAAAAACTCCTCTTTCTTCCTGAATGCACATTTGTAATCGCCTTGTAAAATTCGTGGCATTTTGTAACCTATTGCCGTTAATGCAGAACTTGAATCGTTTCAGTCATATTTCTGCGACATTGTCCATACACATAGATTATCTCTTTTCTCAAAAAAAAAAATAAATAAATAAATAAATTTCAGGCATTTTAAAACAAGCACAAAGTTGTTCCATCAGGGTTGTACATTTTTGACATGAAAAATTTGATCAAATCGGCCGGAAAATACATGAGATATAAGCTCTGAAAGTTTTAGGTGAAACACCCAGTATATTGATGCAAATTTGCTTTGTTCTTTGTTATCTAATCTAATAAAAAACGAAGAGTCATCATTTACTATGTAACTCAAATACCGTTATTAATTCCAAATGAACCGTATAATGTAGACACAAACAAATGCGTCCTAATAATAGAGCCTTGTTTAGGAACAGAATACCGAGTAATTCACTATCAAGGCCGCTGTTACATCATTTAATAATAATCCAATTTAAACACCCAGTCGTGAGTCTGCCTCTTCACAAGAACGTCCACAATGGTGCTTACACTAGATCGATGGGTCGGAAACGTCGCTGTAGTGACAGGTGCAAGTTCTGGAATAGGTGAGGCGATTGCAGAACTTCTCGTGGGCAAAGGATTAATAGTAAGTCCTCGACCACTAATTACAATGAATTAATTCTTTTTCTTCAGGTCGTTGGTTTAGCTCGCCGTTCCGAACTCGTCGAGGAAAAAGCTAAACAACTTTCTGGGAAAGCAGGTAAACTGCATGCTGTTAAAACCGACATCACCAAAGAAGAAGACATCGTGAATGCGTTCAAATGGATTGAAAAAAATTTGGGTCATGTTCACATCCTTATCAACAATGCTGGTATTTCTAAAGAAAATTTGCTGAGGGATGGAGATGCAGCGGCTTGGAAGCAAACTTTCGATGTGAATGTTATGGGGTTGTGTATTGCAACTCGGGAGGCTGTTAAGATAATGTCTGCTAATAATATCAAAGGGCATATTATCCATATTAACAGTGTAGTTGGCCATAAAGTGATTCCTTTTCCCGGGATTAATGTCTACACGGCGAGTAAATACGCAGTGACTGCTTTGACGGAAACTCTGAGACATGAATTGAATGCAATTGATTCCAAAATTAAAACTACCGTAAGGTTTGATAACGCTTTGGGTTCATGTTTAACACTTGTGGTTGTAGAGTATCAGTCCTGGGTTAGTAACCAGCGAGATGACAACTCTTAATCCTAAGCTTGGTGAGGACCGTAAAAAGTTAATGGCTACTATGCCAATACTAAAGGCAGAAGATATTGCCGAAGCTGTGGAATACGTCTTGTCTACATCTGAAAATGTTCAGGTATTTGATCGAAAATTATCAATTTGTTCTCTGATTTTTTTATTGCAGATTAATGAATTAACTATCACGCCGGTTGGTGAGAAATTTTAAATTCAAATCTACTGCCACTTTCTTCTAATTTCATGTATCTGCACTTTTAAAAATGTTATAAATCATGTTGTACTAATATTTGAAGAAAATATTATTTACAGAAATCTGAAAAAAATGACTTGACAAATTCTTATTATTACAATACACTTGTCGCTAAAAATCCATGCTATCGTCGATCGTCTAATCTAGCCCCACTTTTTCTAATGTAGTAAGTGAGGAGAGAAAATAAGACTATTTGTTTTAAATTTATATTAAAAACAGGTCTGATATTATAATAAATGTTGAAAATGTTGCCCCTCTGCTTCAATACATCTTAAAACCCTTCTCTCAAAATTTCTGAAAACACTTTCTAACATAATGGGAATGTTATTAATCTCCGGGCATTTTTGTTCAATTCTTTGCTGTAAGTCCTACAGATCTACAACCGCTGTTTGAAAAATTGTGTTTTTAAGATAAAGCCAAAAGAAAAAATCACAGGTTGTCAAATCATAGGAACGAGGTGGGCAAGGAATTACTGTATTTCGACTAACCATGCGGTCACCAAAGAACGAAATTATTATAGAGCCTTTGTTAACTCATTGTTATTGCACGATTCGTAAATAGTATCAAACGGGAAGTTTCGTAAGAAATTTAAGTTGTCCATTGTATAATGAATCAGTGCTCCATCTTGTTGAAAGAATCCGTTTTGCAATTCACTATCGTGTAAACGGTTGACAAAGGGCTCTAAAACGTCATTTCGATATCTAGCAACATTTATTTGTGTTTCTAATAAAAATGAGAGTACAAAATGGTTGCAGATATTTTTTTTATAGTTTACCTTGAACTAATATTGGTCCAATGATTCGTCTTTGATCACTGCTGCCCACACACCAAGTTTTCCAGGCTGCAATGGTTCAATAAATTCACGTGGGTTTTCATGACTCCAAATTCTCATTTTGTGAGTTTATGTATCCATTGAGGTGAAACCATGCTTCATCACTAAAAATTATTTCTTGCGCCAATTCTCTGTTGTTGTTCATATTCATAAACCAATTGCAAAATTCTACTCTTCGTGCGAAGTCCACTGGGAAGAGTTCTTGCACTGCTGTGATATGGTAAGAACAGACTTCCAAATTTTTATGTTCTAAACTGTAAGCCCTGGCACCAAGAATGGAATGTTTGTTTGTTGGTTAGTTGTAAAAACAAGATAAGTCAGGATGGGGTAAGGAAATAAGTCTGTTCGTTAACACAATTTAGAATTTAATTTGTGATCTTTGGTTGTCTAATAAATTTCGAGTATTTCAAAAAAGGTAAGAGTAGTGCTTTTATTCAAAATGTATAGGACTTCGACATTATCGGATGAAAGGAACTATTGATTTCTAAAATATGGCTGGCAAAAGCAGAGTTTGTATTTAAGTTCTTTTTGGAAAAATCAGTGTTAGAGATATTTTTCACTCGAAGATGGAAAGTAAAAGATAGGTATGAGGGACAGTGGGGTTTATTAAAGGAGTTACCTAGATGGAAGGAATATGTCTGACTATTATTATTAATCAGTCATTGTAGCTTACCCTTAAGTTTCGCAGACATAACTTTGCCTTTGAATGAAACAAACTCTTTGATCTTGTCGTCAAGGGATGATAATACAAATGGATGTAATGAAGAGGTTAACTTAGAATACGGGATGATTTTTTTAATACTGAAACTTTCAATTATCTCGAAAATAAGCTCTCCACAAAAAAATGTCTAGATACAAAATTTAATCATTCCATGGAGGAAATAGATCAATGCAAAAAATTAGCCCCCTTTCCCCCTCCTTGTAGATGGGGCGAGGATTAACTTTGAAAACTTAAATAGGAACCCCGAATTTTTGATTACGGATTCGGATTCTGCGGTTAAAAGTACGTAGGATTTGTCTAAAAGATTTTTTTAGATTCATGACAGATGACGCTGTAATAAACGAAATTCAATTTTTTCGATTTCTCCTACTGAGAACTTATGCATGCAATTCTGCAATTTGTTTGCAGTAAAAAATACCACGTTTTCTTTGTAAATAATCAAAAATGGGTCATTGATCATTGCAGGCAACCTGAATAGTGAAATGTACCGAGACATTTTGGAAAATTACCGACATTACTTGAAAACTTGAGCTTAAAAGTGCGACAGAACATGTGGTTTCAACATGATGGTTGTCCAGAGCTCTATTCGATGGTAGTACGTGAAGTACTTGATCATGATTTAGTGGTCACTAAATCGATAGCGCTGGTCCGATAAATTGGCCTGCCAGATCACCAGATCTTAGTGCGTCCGATTTCTTTTTGTGGGACTATCTCAAAGACAAAGTTTACAAACAAGAACCAACAACCCGTGAGAATATGATTGAGCAAATCAGAAATGCTTGCCCAGAAATTCCAGCAGACACATCTCATTCAATAAGCATTGAATTCGAGGGCCATCATTTTGAGAACTTACTTTAATTGAAAGATGATGAGGCGAGGGAACTCACCTAAATCAAGCACCCTGAACGACGAAGGGACCTAAATCAAGCACCCTGATACGTGGTAGACAAGGGGACCCACGTTAATCAACTACCCCGAAGGGAACAGAAAACTACTTCGTCCACAACGTTGTTCCTGGATTACACTAAAAGTAGTTTATTCGCTAGGCATTTAGATTTCTATATGTAATAATTTCCAAGTTATTCAAAATTTGCAACATAAATAAGCTTTTTTGGCGACGAGTTTTGAGCATTTACATCAAACGTGGTGTTTTTTATTGCCAACGAATCACAGAATCATTTGTATAGATTCTCAGTAGGAGAAATCGAAAAAAATTCTACGATTCACCGCCATCTATCACGAATAAAAAAAAATGTTTCAGACCAATTATACGTGCTTTTAGCTGTAGACTCCGAATCTGCAATAAGACAGCAGTTCCAATTTAACCCAGTAAACACAGTTACGTAGTAGCGATGTTAATGCCACTTAACTCTGTCTACGATCTCATTAGCTGTTACATCCCAAACTGCGTACATGTGCTTTCCCTGTAATCAACAGTCACCCATGCCTGTACCATACTGGTGACATCCACATTGTTTCAGACTAGAGACGTGCTCGCTGGTACATTGTCATAACGTTGTGTTAGTATGTCGCTAGATTCTCTATATTTTGATGTATCAGTTACGTTTTATTTTTAACGCCAATATAATGTATTAAATGGACATAGACGTTACGTATATATCGCAACATCGTAAACATATGACTCTCAGTATATTTTATTAACATGATCTATGCGATATGAATAGGCAGTTCAAAAAGATTAGTTGCCATTTATATGTATCATTTTATTCAAGGTTTGAAAAAACATAATATATAATAAGTAATAAAATACAAAAATTAATATAAATTCATAATATAAATAAATAAATAAATATATATATGATTTCCTAATTCGAAAATAATACAATATAATTTACACTTAAAAAAAGACACAGAAACTAGAAACCGTCGTCGTTTTTTCTTTCTTCAGGCGTTGACTAGAATGTCGTAGCCACTCTGACCAGCGTTGTTCTACTTCTTTTTCTATTGCGGAATGGGTCTTTATGGTAATTTCTTCAAAAATAAAAACTGTAATAGTTATATTTACTGCAAAAAAAATACCTTCCATGATAATTATTGTTTTTGTCCCAGCCATTCTGGAATTTTCCTAGTGAACGAACAAGCTACAGCAAATTCGATGAAAAATATTTTTTTTAATACACGCCCCACATTACTCTTTTTCCCATTACCACCTATCTGGGACAATAGCAGTTCCTGAAATAAGAAAAAGTGTATATTTTTGTGTTTATACAGAGTGACTCTGAAATAAGTTCGGAAAATAAAGCCACAACATCACGAAGTAGAGAAAATTTTAAGTAATTTCTTTTATCTAGTCCTAATTCAAGGAAAAAAATATCAAGATCTACACCTTATTCAGTGCCATTTATTTTCATCTAAGCAATACACAGCAAAAACAAAGAAAAAATTTAGTCACAATGGAAACTGAAAAAATCATTGTTGCATCATCGACATTTAACTAGATCTTTCGTATTTGTTTCTTGAAACTGGAGCAGCAATTTAATTACTTTGAATCCGCGTGACAATTAAAGGATTTTTTTCCGAATCTATTTGGAAGTCACCCCGTATGTATAATATATAGGGTGCTTCACTATAAGACTTTTCTGCAACCCACTATGTATGTAACGTGTTAAGAGAAATGTGTCATGTTTAGTAGGTTCCTAAAAAGTGTTATAGTATTACAGGCATCTACCTGTATATAATATCCAATATTATGTTATATGTAGGTACATATAAATTTATTGTATTTTTTTAACTTACAAAGAAACCTGCTTGTTGTACTAGGCAAAGATAATCTTCTAATTCCTCAAAATTTGTTTAGCTATGGTCTTGGCGGCATATCTTCTATTACTATTTTCTTTTTGATTTGTCAGATTTGATGACGTTTTCATGTTGGAGATTTGTTCACTCGTTTCCTTTAGAATTTTTTTGTTTCACACATATTTTTTGTATTTGTTTCAAGCCTAGAGTAAAATTATGTTCATTAGCACCTAGTTCATAAATAATTGCAGTAACATACCTTTGCAACATTTTATGGCAAAGCGCCTCACTTTCAAAAACAATCACCGTAAGTTCTTCAAAATCAGCGGGAGTATCTTCAGTGATTAATGATCGTATTTCCAGCTTATCTGGAAAAACTGTTTTTGTTATTTACGTACAGTTATCAAAAACAACAGAAGCACGTAAAAATTAAAATGATTACTTCATTAGAATTATATTAACTTACCTAGTATAAATACAATCCACACTGATTGGCAGAAATTTTCACAAAACTGCATTAAAAATGAAGTGAGTTACGGATCCACGAGAAAGGTTCGGTGGTTGTGAACCAAATGGCCAAATGGAATTCGAAAGCGTCACTGTGAGTGTGAAGTTCAATAAACATAAATACTGAAAAAAGGGATGGTCCGACTGCACCTCCCAAACATCTGGTGAATAGTAAATGCAGAAGTTGAGCGTTATTTTTTCATTAGATGAAATAAATTTAATAAAATTAAAAATTAACCACTCTCTAATTTTTTTGGTA